CGGCAATGATGATTGTAGGTGTGGTTTTTCATTCGTGTTTTTGACTACTCACGGCGACGCACTCAAGGCGTAGCTACCCAAAATGGAGTGCAATCGGGTGATTCAATCTCATTTTTCTAGAACTACAACGGGCCGAGAAGGCCAGTGTGACCGTTACATAGGGCGCTCAGTGGGCGCCTCTGGAAGGGGGGGGGGTCTCTGCTAGGCTACCCCAGATGTGTCGAGGACACGTCTGGGTACGAGACCAGTGATCCTTGGGACACCAGTGTTCCTTGAGACACTCATTCTTACCCTTGACCGAGGTAATGGATTTGAACTACATGCTAAAAAAATTCGGGGCTGAACAGCCTCTAATTGAGGTTTCGAGAACATGATATATACCCAATTCCATCTACTTTGAGGTTTTTCAGACTCTGTGAGAGATTTAATTCTGAATTTATGAACACCACATAGCTAGCCTATTTGCATTCAACTTCACCCAATAAAGCATGACATTTGGTGCAGAATTGCGCGATCTAGGAGAATAAAATGAATGTGTGACATCGTGCGTGAGGACGCACACGCGATGGGGGTGGCGGTGACTCGGAGTAGCGACCGCGCTCGATCGCAGCGTGCCACGGGGGACGTCACACTGTGTCACGGTGTCCCAAGGAACCCAAAACTTCCGAAAACGAGTACAGGTAACAAATTGAATTCTGTTGGAGGGTACATTGCAGGTTTAATTCCCATAAAATTCATAAAGGACTTGAAGGCACTTCACAAAACTCCTGTACATAAATATGGTGTAATTTTGAAGTGTGGGGTGCACAAAACGAAATATGCAAACTGGTGTCCCAAGGACCACCAAATCACGGTATACAATACGGTGTACTCACAAGACTGCTCCGCCTACGCCATGGTAGCGCAGTACATAAACCGAATGGTGAGGTGTTTTCCTTCACACATGTTTCAGGGAAATGTATTGGCTGATCTTAGATAAGCTCGTCCGCCCGAAGGCGATTCCCATGGGGATATATGTACTGCAATAGTGCACCATCAATCGACACTGTACTCCGACTGACCCGAGACCTAACATTGTACTACCAACATCTTGTGTTTGGTATGCCTGAGAGCGAATGGAACACCATGCATATATCCCAAGAATCATAAAGTAGCCTGAAGTAATGCAATGCTACCGTCATCGAAAAAAAAATCGGGCAATCTGTATGCCTCTGCAGCTTTGTGAACGTTGGAATGATCACGCGCATTGAAATCGGACAGACAATCACCGGACCACCATATGCATTCGAGCCGCCACCACGTATATCCCGGCTTGGCACCGGTGGCAGCGCTTACCTGCTCAAGCTATTTTCCTCAATTTCGATTCGAGCCACACTTCCGGTACAAGTGTGAGTGCTTACTATGAAGGTAGATCATGTACTCACAACAATGTACATTGGCCCACTCAAGAGTTCAACGAGCTACTTTACAATTACAATGAACGTAAAATCAGGTCACGTGAACCTCGAGTTTTGATGAGTGACTCGGCCGACTCGACTCGACCCGACTCGCGACAATTATTGGCTTAAATTCAGGGACCTAAATCTGATGCACACCCGTGGTACAATTGGCCATCTGAGACACCACGAAACAAGATGTGATTGACAGGCTAGCGTGCTTGAAGGTGTGTAGATATTCTCAGCAGCGCCGCTGCGTAACACCTACCATAATAATGCATCTAGCCTCAAGCTCTCCCGTAGGCCAACTTTGGTACATACTGACAATGTGATGATTATACCGTCAGTTCCTTGTCGATCAGCCATCACGGCGACAGCAACCATACGCCTTTGGCGAGCTCGGGTACCTCAAGCGGTGAGCTCGCTCATTGGTTCGGCAAACATGCTTGAATGGGTTTGAAATTGGACCCTTTGTCAAAACTACCTTTTTGGTGGCGTTCTCCTTTGATGTAGATAAAACATACTGGGCACGCGTAGACGCAGACTCGCAGCGCCTTAATTGCTCTCGTACCCAGGCGACACGCATGGGTACTTGCGAGACCAGATTTTATGGGCTCCGACCGCGTCTAGCCGAGGCTCGTCTAGCCGAGAGTATATAGCGTGCAAATTGCGATCGACTTACTCCAGCTCTCAGCCTTCGTATCTTCACGAGCTCAAAACAGGTGCTGGATAGTAAGTTTCACTTGTCCTGTCCATCTTTGCTCGCAATCTGACTGATACGACGACCATCCAGCCTGTCTTGTTTCCTTTTTCGCATCGCATATCGCCTTCACGACCCCCTTCCGTTCTCTCCGCCTCATCCAATCATTATGCGTGGCTCCATCGCTGCTCCCGTCGTTCTTGCCGCTCTTGCCGTCGCTCCCGCTCTTGCCCATCCCACCGCCAGGTAAGTTGTATCTTCGTTGGACCAGGATCAATGCTCTAAAACTTGTATGGCCGCAAGGACTGTATCTGAACCTGTGGCTCGCAGCGATGGTGATTTGTCGTCATACATGCGTCGCGAGGACGCCCTATTCGCTCGGGCATTAGAGGAGGAGCTCCAAGCGCGGAGTCTTCTCCGTGATAGTCAAAAGTTCATTGTAGGCTTGCTCAAGCGTGAGGAGGATGATCGGCTCCTGGCGCGCGACTTCGACGAAGACATGGCGGGAGCCTATCTGGGTTACGAGGCTGCTCACCATTATTTGGACCGCAGGGAGATAGAAGAGGAGCTCCAGGCGCGGAGTCTTTTGGGCGATAGTCAAAAGCTCACTGTAGGCTTGCTCAAGCGTGACGAGGATGAATGGCTCCTTGCGCGCGACTTCGACGAGGACATGGCGGGAGCGTATTTGGGCTACGAGGTTGCTCACCATTACTTGAACCGCAGGGCGATGGAGGAGCTTATCGCAAGAGGAAGCCCCGCGGGCAAGTCCTCGAGCAAGTCCACGAGCAAGTCCACGAGCAAGGCCGACATAGCCAAGGCCGTGGGCAAGGCCGCGGGCAAGGTTGCAGGGCATGTCATCCAACATGTTATTGTCCCAGCTATTAAAAAGCATGGGCCAGAAATCGCCGCGGCTATTGCAAAGCATGGGCCAACAGTCGTCTCAACTGCTGTGAAAGTTGCTCTCCCCCTCATCCTTCGTGAAGATCTCCCCATCCTTGCTCGTGAAGATCTCCTCTCCATCCTTGCTCGTGAAGATCTCGTCCTGGACGAGCTTGACTAGGGGGACTGCACATCTATTACCTATGTAACGGTTATTCATCGTGGGTTCTAGTGTATCGATAGCAACGCATAAGGATTGTTCAGTACTTTTGTGGATGCGATGCGGAGTTCTGGCCGAGAATTCACTATAACAGCTACATTTGTTTCAGTAGGCGTCAGTGGTTGGCTCCGTTCTGAGGGTGGGGGAGCTTCGTTATGCCAGTGATGGTATTATTATTATGAACCTTGCTTTGTATCAGATGCTGGGACGTGACTCTATCTTCTATTACGTAGTACCTTCTATAATAAATGAGAGTAGTTTCCTTTTTCTTGCCTTATCATATCCCGTTTCGGTCACGGCTTCTCCCTCCCGCGGGCCGCTTTCCCCCTCTTTGGTATCCTTCTTGTGATTTCTCAGAAAGTGTATCCTCTTGCACTCTCCCAATTTCTGCGACATCTGCATCCCTGAGTCATAAGGCCCACTATGTACACTGTTATGTTCAGAATAAATAGTGAAGCGACCGTGCGCAGGCACGGGTATAGTGCCAGTGCGACTTCATAATCAGCCAAGATCACTTCCACTTAGAATTATTGTCGCCGCTGGAAACGTTCATGACTGATCAATTGTTGATGCACAAGGCACCGGCATATACATCATCAAATGATTCCAGTTATTCAAGTATACACGTCAGCTGGGATATAACAAAGAGGCCGTGCTTTGCGCTGAGCAAGCAGCACGGATACAAGGGGGGATACAGCAGGTATCTACATTTCATACATGGAAGCCTTTGGGTAATATAAATGCGATGGATGTCAGATGTGTAAGTGAACTGTGATGCATGTAGATCATAAGCATGGTCCAATTGATTGACGAAAACAAGCAGAACGACGAACGGGACCGCCACAGGGTCCTTTGTTAGGCCCAACTCTAGAGTTCCGGCCCTTTACTGCTACTCCGGGGTTTCATTCTGCCCCAAGCTTGCCTGGCGTAGGTTTCGTAGCGCGATATTTACACCATGGTAGTCCTCCATCCATATACCGCGCTCCTGGCACCGCCGCAAGACCGTCGTCCAAAACTGCGTCACGCGTTCTGCTGGGCGTATCGTGCGCATAAGATGGCTCTCCGCGCTCACGTCACGCACGAAGCGCAGATTCGGGAACGCATCCCGCCGGAGAAGCACAGACATCTGCTCACATAGCAGGAAGTACGCGCCACCCGCTGTCTCCCCGCCTTCGAACACATGAGGGTCGTCTCGTAGCCGGATATCGATATCCCGTATCGCAATGAGCTCGACTGTCGGGTGAGAGGGAAGCAGCACATGAGGTGCAATCCAGTCTGGCGCCTGCCAGTGCCAGTGCCACTCCGCGTCCGCTGAGCATATAAACTCGCGCAGGTTCGGACACCACGTTGCAAGCGGTGGGGGTGTGGGAGGTATGCGCGTATATTGTGGTGGTGGAGTAAGGTAGAGCTCCGAAGCTCGTGTCGGCGAATGGCCAAGCTCCAATTGGCGTAGCCGCCCACCGTGCGCCCGAAAAAAGCGCGCGAACCCTGCCCCTGGACAGTTGAAGTCACCGGACAAGACTGATACGTGTGTGAGCGAGGGCATCCGCCAGGACGCTAGTACGGCGAGCGCGTCGTCGTCTAGCGCTATCTTGAGGGCCCTAAGAGACGGAAGTTGGACGTTCATTTCGATAGATGCGCCATCCCCTCGCCCCAGTGGCTCAGCGAATAGCGCATCGCATTGCGGCAGCCATGAGAACAGTTCGAGGTACTCCAGATGTGTCGCTATGTTGTTCTCCAGAGGTGCCATGACGAGCTGAAAGGGCGCATCATCGTACCTTGTCCAACTCAGCCGCCGAACCTTAGGATGCGCCACCAGCTGCAAAATCTCCTCTGGACCACATTTTGGATCGGAAACAGCGTCGATAAGGCTACGCTGTACCGAGCGCTGATCTGCGAAAATGAACAGGTGGGGCGCGTAGTCGAGGATAGTGCGTAAGTCCGCAGGAGAGCAACGTTCCAATGCCGGTGTCTCGATGTGCAGCCGGCGAAGGTACTTGCCGCTCGACCCCGAGCAATTGACGAATTCCATTAATAGTGTCCGCGAGAGGAGTTTGGCGTGCATTGCTCGACCGATCCATATGAATTCGTACAAAAAGGGTCGAGTCAGGCTGTTCCATTGTTTCGAGACGAGGGAAAGAGCCAGCTTGATGTTCATCTCGGCGCGATAGGTAGTAGGGAGTGTGGGTTTTGACTGAAGGAACGATGGATCCTGTGAGGTGTCGAGTGGATCGTGGTCGAAGACACACGCATGTTGGATAATAATTCCCCATATCTCTGGCGGGATGTGGCGCATGGGAGGTGATTTGTGCTTGCTACCGCGAAGCAAGCGACACCTGAAGACACGGTGGTCAACAACGGCCGACAGAAGGGCGTGCAATCTCATTCAAACTTGCAGGAATTGCCACCAGTCGTTGACAACCCATGGGTGCGACGGAGGGGGCAGCAGGACTCACCTGTGTACGCTGAGTCTCTTCGTCACCGCATGCAAACCCCGTCGGATACGTCGAGGAAGTGCCTCCATGTCGGCAGAAGAGCTCATGGCGGAATGAGGACAACGAGGAAGGGAGGTAGGAGGTCAGGGCCAACGGAGGACGCTGTCAGCGCTGAAGTTCTCGGCTCACTCACATGGCTCCATATGCCGTCTTTGTCCCAAATCGCCGTTTGTACGCTATCTGTAACGTGATCTTACATCCGGCGGCGAGATCAAAACTCGATAGACACAATACACCGTGGGCCTAGAATGATCTCGGACAAGAGAGATATCTCTGCTAAGAGCCTTCTTATTCCATCTCATTGATAGCACCCCCAGAGTGTTGCATATCAGTCTTGTCGAGCAGTTTCTACTTCATGAAGACTTCGATATGATTGCCATTAATTTAATTTAGCCCCGACGAAACAACACTACAGTACCACTGAAGACGGCAGGCCCGATCGTGGTCTTTGCGCAGCAGTCGAGGCACCAGAGTAGGTCCTATACTTATCTAGGGAGTTCTAAAGGTTATTTGGCTGAGTGGTGGTCGCGTCTGGGTTGGCCGTAAGGGGACGCATTACGACAGGAGGCGTGTGCCTGGAATCACCACCGGCCGTCGAGATCCAGGCTCTTAATTGAGTCGAGCCTCAGCCTCAGGCTGCCAGCCAAGTTTCTCGCCAGCTTGTGGGTATCACTCGATGCTGTCTTGAAACACCACATACTTATGTAGTATCAGATCATAGCTATCTGTGCTGATATACATCACTATCTATTATTATGTACCAGCCTCCGGACCAAATAATGGGGAACTGACTGTGAGTACATGTGAGTATCTGAGTGTCCGATCGCGAGTGCGATGGCTGGTCGCGACCTGAGTCAGCCCTCCCCCAATTGCTGTCAGTGCACAGTCTTCGAATTCATTTGAACCTGATCCGCTTGCATCTTCTCTGCAATGGCAGATACAGTACTTATGCATTATTCAGAAAAGGCCATGCTAATACTGTGGCATATGGTAAATGCGACGTCGACGATCCTTACAGGCGCGTCTGATTCTGGAATCTGACTTGAAAGAGAAAAGAGTGAAGAAAAAGAAAGAGAAAGAAGAGAGCTGGATGACGAACAATCACTTAATCAATCCTTCTATTATCTATACTGAAATTAGTCATCCGTATGACATTAGACAAGTGCCTTATGTAGTACGCACGACGACGTTATCGCGTTCGCCTCGAGCTCTCTCCATGTAGCACAGCACGACTCGAGTATAGAACGCTCAGAGATAACATATGCCACAGCTAGTCGCGTTTGTGACCTATCCTCCGAAAGGCCCTGTGATGCTGACATATGAGCATCTGCCCTAGGTTGTGTTTCAGAGCTTACATCTAATATGTCGCCCAGCTCAGCGGTATTTAGATATGGATGTTTGCCCATGCACGAGGTCTTTTGTTCACAGAGCGCTGCGAGTGTGCGTGATGCTCGGCAAAAAATCAAGTTTGCCTACGTGCCCTCAAAAAGTGGTCGAGCAACAGGGAGGGGAGCTAACGCACCGTTCCATTAATCATTGGATCTTTCCCTCGGGTATCATAAGCAAACTCGCCGTCCGAACTCGAGGAGACAACACGTTCGACACGCAGCTGCAACTCCGTCAGCTCACCGAAGAACAGAACGAGTCTGTTCAATAGCGACGCATCGTTTGTCTGCAGTAATGCCGTAAGCTCGCTTCTCGTCAAAAAATCATTTTGTATAATAGTACACAAAACCGCGCACAGCCACAGCTGGATGCTTATCTGGGCGTCGCTGTTGATACGCAGTAATGAGCATAGTCCTTCGTAGCGCCAGCTGCGTTCTGTTTTCGAGTCACAGTCCGGTCGGTACACAAGGCTGCTGTCATCCATTGCGAATGAGTGTCTCGAGCTCGTCCACATAGACATGCAGGACTTGAACAACGCAGCGAACGCGACGGGGGAGATGGCGGGGATATTCAGCCCATCGTGGATAGATTGGGGTGCAGCTAAGTTCAGTATCTCGGCCAGGTCCCAGGAGATAAAGTCGTTCTCATTTCCCTCCAGAGCGAACCCGTATCGTACAAGGAGGGCTGCGTTTCCAAGTTTGGAGCCATACGTGTTGAAAATTTCAGTTGATGACTCGATAGCGCGAACGCTAACCATGTCGCATGTATCGACGTCGCTATATGTCGTTGCCGAAAACGAGATAGATGATGACAATGGGTCCGATTGTACGATAACAACCTGATCATCCCGGTCATGTGGGCACTCAGCGAGGGAGCCGCAGGTGGGACAAACATCAAAATTACTCTGGAATATGTGGACAAAGTCAAGATTGGCGAGCAGGTTAGTAGAAGAGCTACGCGGACCTCGAGATGAACATTATTATCCGTGGTGTGATTGAATCTTTAGAATATCAGACTCAGAGTGTGCGAAACGGAAGTTTGACATACGCATCTGCGATTGGAACCATGGACAATCCATGATATGCGTCGACGAGGAACGCACGAGAAGAAACAAGCGAATAGGCATGCAAGAAGCCATGCAGTGTACTAGCGAGTGCCAGCGCAGATATCAGAGGATAGGCGGTTGTTTCATAATACGCAGTTATCTCATCCTAAAGAAGTTGGGTCGATCGCCAAACTTCGAACGAAGAGCCTGCTGTGACGACGTACCAGGAGTGCCGAGCCTCCCTCGTGCAACAATTCCTTCTCGATTCCAGTACCAATGAGCCACTCTTTGGCTTCAAAACTGTCCATCGACGGCGATGATTTATCCATGCCCCAAAAGAATGCAATCGGCACGAGTTCTTGTGGCAAGGACTGCAAGTACCCAGACCATCGCGACTTGGACTCTCGCAGGCTGTGGAAATGCACACGTGAGATCTGCGGAAATATAATGCGCATGCAGACTTACAGCTCAATGTGTAGTGCGAGGGCTAGGGCTAGTTGCGCGTCGTGACCGTACGGAACGAAGGAGATTCGTTCCGCCGCCGAACATGCGCGCACCGAGAGAATAGCAGACTTTGGAATGGATACCACTTGAAAAATGTTTCATGTTGAGATACTGCATTGCCCTAAAATTCACCGCTTACGAGTGTTGTTTGGGGGTATAAACTCGTCCGCATAAATAGCGATGCCTGTGTGGGGGTCGTCGACTAGATGAATGCGAGGGTCGATGTGAATGTTGTTCGCTGAAGACCAGCTGAGTAATGAATGGAGTCTACCACTCATCTCAAGCATATGCAAGGTAGTGGATCACCCAGAAGAATAAAATAGGATGCATATCCTGAGCATATTCTGTAGTTGAACGTTTGGCAGGTCCAGGTTACTTGATAGCGAGCCTAGCGAGACAATATGCTTCAAACAGACTTACTATATACGGCACATTAGATAATCTCAGAAGCCGGCGCACTCGAAAAAGTGGCGCGCCACCAAGGTTTACGGAAATGTTTCCCGATGCTACTACGAGTAGTACGCAGAGATCATTTTGACTGATTCTTGCGGTTTGTCTATTGTTCAGTCGACCGACCAGAGTGTCCAAGCTGTCATCTCTCCAAGTTGTACACGCAGCTACGCAGTAGGCATGGTCAACTTCATTCCGTTCACTACTGTAGCACATATCCGCAAGTCAGGGCCTGCCTTGCATACTGAGCGGCGGATATATCTTTAGCGTTTACACCACTCTACTCCACAGCGCATTGCGGCTAGGCTCTAGATCACAAGGAGCGCCTTGAACTTTAGACCGCGGCCGAACCCCGACAAGTGGTGCGTATGAACTAGCGCCTTGTGGTATGTAGCCTTTCTTTGTCTTTCAACTCACCCTAATGACTGCAGACTAGGCTTTCGGATTGATAGGAATGCGGTCGCTCCGCTCTAATTCTGGAAACACTCAGTACCAACACACCATGTCTCTGTCTTTTAAGATGGCTAGCGTCAGGAAATTATCAATCCATGTCAACGAAATTAGACATTCCGATAAACAGAGATAATTTGACTGTATGAAATCATTCGTTTGCGGTTTGTGATCCTTCGGCATGGCCAATGACCTTTTACAATCAGCCAGGGCTATACCATCGAAAAGAAACAGGTCCATGTCTTCTATGGCCGCTGGATCTGGCACTTTGCTCGTCTAGTGGTGCTTAGACTAATGATAAAATCTTGACGTGTTGGGAAAATGTAAATTTAGAAAGGTATGTTCTCATTTTATGATCTCTCCGCATAAGTAATGTTATCCACAGTAGTAGGTGGCTCCTTCAATAGCAAAGTCCTGAAAATATGCCAGGGAATCGTACCATTGAGGTCAGTCGAGACGTCGTATACGTTTGGCGTAGCAAATTCTACGAAATCTGCTAGTGCATATTCACCTATCTCATGTGTCGAGAATTACAACCGGATACTGACATCTGGACAGGATATGACTGGGTCACAAGAAAGCAGATCATTATGCCTCTCCACTCGAAATATATGCACTGTTCGCATAGAGTCTCCTGGCCAGAATAAAATGACAGACGCGGTATGGGCTGATGACCTCTCTGATGACCTCCAGCGCCGACGGGTAAGTATACCATGATGCTTACTCTGCTTTGCCGCAGGTGTATCTATCAAGGCTCCATCAGCGTCTCTAGCTATACAGTACAAAAATCGCGCCGCAATGCAGACCATCCACAGGTTTCACTTGCCTCTTCAGCACTTCGACTTTAGCATCTTCACTCAGATTTACAATCCGCTTACAATGTTCAGCAAGGTCACTATCGTCCTTGTCGCTGCCGTCATGACATTTGTGCAAGTTTGCGGCGAGTCTCATACCGTCACATTCACCAACAAGTGAGTGGCATTGAGTCTGTTTTATGCCGACTCATTGACCGCGAAAATTTGTAGCTGTGGTTGTGGAACCGTTTGTATCTCACACACCATAGGCATTCCACTACTGTTTTACATTCATCATACAGCCTTACTTGTGGGGACCCAACAGTGTTCTCTCCACCGCTAGCCATTACACTAGTAATGGCTCCGCCGATGGTTTGATCGCGTGAGCTGAGATAGAATCTGACTTTTGCGACGCGATTTACACACGCCCTTTGAACTTCTGCAGTTATCTGCAGACTGGTACGCAAGCATTTCAATTAAAATACAGTGCTTTTGTACCACTCATTTTATACATGCAAGTGTAACAACAATGGCGAAAATTGCACCTCAGTCGAGGCATCGCTCAGCAATGTTGGAAGCACTGCCGATATCTCGCTTATTCCTCCGTATGTATTTTCCTGTCATTGGTCACTTTCATTTATTTTGTTCTAGGCACGATATCACTGCACCGAGTGGGTTTGAGTGAGTCACCATACCCTCTCGTCGTGAGTAGTATGCCCATGCATGGGATTTCTAGCTATTACAATGGCTGCGATGGTAAAGGCGCAGACTGTCAGTCGTTCTTTCCCTATCAAGTGTTAGCAGTATCTCACAATCCCCATTCCCATGATGTAGGCACTAACAGTGCACCGACACCTTACGCAGTCCGAGCATTGGGATCCCGTTTATTGTCCCCGAGGGCTTGGCCCTATGTAGACATAAAGTACTGTACATGTGCGATCGGTGTATGTGCGTTATCGAAACAGAGACATTGGAGCGAACCAAGTTAACTGCTTGGTCGCCAATGTGAATGCTTCCATCTTGACAAGTAGCCGATTGAACTAAGTGGGGCCGAACGCTCAGGTCGACCTGAACATCAAATTCTGTGACTGATTTAATTCAGGTTAGAGTGATACATGGAGGCAGCAGAGTTTTTATATCATGTACATCATGTCGATTGTGTTACCCAATGATCCATACCCACCAGTGGGATTCCGTTACTTCCAGAAAAGAGGAACCGCACTTTGCATGCATAACAGAGTATTTCCACCAGGATTTTTGTGACAATACATGCGGAAAACCTCATTGAATTTCATTTGGAAATACTGCAAATGTTCAGCGGCCTCCGAATCAGTGTAGGCTACAGTGGCTTGAAGACATCTGAGACTGCTTTGCATTACGGACAAAGGTCTAATACTGCTCATAGTATATTCAAAAATGTGCTACATGGCCCCGGCGAAGCTGGCAATCGGCACTCACGACAACTAGCGTACGAGTCATAAAACTATAGAGCTCGACCCTCGCGGACAATAAAGGGACACAACAAAAAAACTATCTTACAAGCCCACAGCAGTCAAAAGATCAGAAAATACTGGGGTGCCCACACCAGTGATCTGCATGGGTCGGGGAGAATTTCTGTCAGACAGGGTAGCATATCATACGCGGGCGGGAACGTACGGGGTCCCATCCAGTCGTTGCGGAGAAACCGTTCGTGTTGCACCCGGGATTATCTCCGGATGTAATATCAGTGAATGCAGAGAGGCCCGTCGAGTACAGGAACGGATTAAGCCATCCGAGTGTGGACATTCCTGCTGCGACGAGGCGATCATTAATCAATGAGATGACGCTGGCGACGGTTGGGGTCGAACAGCTGGTCCCGTCGATTGTATAGAATTCGCCTCCCCAGGCGATAAGGAAATTGTCACCCTGTGCAGAAACATCTGGGTACCCGCGGCCTGAAGCGTTGTATAATCCCGAGTAGGTGTCTCCTAGGTATTCGAGATATGCTTCGACTGCGGAACTCTGGAAAGACGGACGGCTGAAGACGTTCGAAAAACCACCCGCAGAGAGAGATGCGCCAGTCTCCGGGCTGGAACCTGTCGTAGCACCAACAGAGGTAAGGCTGGATATACACGATTAGCAAAGAAACCGTCTGCTTTGAGAGTACACTGACTAAGGACATCCCGATGGGAAAGACGGAACGAAGTCTGTGCACGATGTTCCTGTGACGAAACCGGAAACTCCAGCATCTCCAGAGGCAAACAAAATGGAGACACCGCGTGCGCCAAGTGCAGCGTAGGCATTGCATAGGTTACTACGAGCGAACGCAAATAGTAAGCAAGATGAGCGCATACGCTCAAGCAACAAAGTAACGCACTTCTGTACACTAGCGGAAAACAAATCCTCATTATCACCGTAACTTGTTGTGATCACTGAAGGCGGGCTATCCTCATTCAGAAAGTAATTCGCCGTATCGAGGAATCCAAACACGCCGTCAGATGTGTCTACGCCAACAGACATAAATGTGACAGGCACGTTGGTAGCCAGCCCAATCGTATACTGGATGTCAAGGTCCTGTATATGCGTAAGTTACTTGAGGTCGCCGTGCGATAATACGGATTCACTTACTGCTTCGTCTCCAGGGTCACTCGGATCATAATCCCCACCGTCAATTTCGATTACCGAATAGGTCAGATTGGCCGACTCTGACATCCCATAGTTCGAATAGAATAGCTACATCATCCGGGTGAGAAGCTCGGTATGACTCCGAAGTTCAATTTCTGACCTCGAGATCTGAGGGACTGGGGGATTGACTATACCCAGTAACCACGAGATAACTTGACGATTCAGTCGCAGGGGTTGTGGGAATTCCGTACAAGGCCTGTAAGCAAGCAGGATCGACTTCGTCATCTTGACAAGCCGATGGCTGGGCTGCGGATTTAGGTTGAACGGTCCCATTGTACTTGGTAGCGCGCATAGGCGATTTGGGGATGGGCGAAGCGAAACTGAGTGGGAAGCATGAGACAATCTTGGTCAAACAGGGACATAATGTATAGCAACATACGACACAGTAGGGTGGATGAGGTCCAGATGACCCTTCAGCTCGGATGGTATGGAATAAGAGAGAGTACGGATACTTTGCTGTCCGCTGCCCTCATGAGTGAAGATAGAAAAATTGGCATCTAAAACCTCATTGGCCAAGCTGACAGGAACTGATACCGCTAGCCAATTGCCGGCGGAGCTAATTGTGGTTGCGCTGATGCCATTTCCAGAGAGCCACTCGTTAACAACAGCCACGGAATTCTGCGTGGGTGCGAGATACTGATTTGCCTGTGGAGCCTTGTTCAGTAGACGCTTCTGAAGCGAATATAATGACTCGCCTCCGCTTTCGAGAGATGTCGACCATAACTTGCGCTAGACGGAGTACTAACGCTGTACAGCGCCTGGATTAAGCCGTCTGTGTCGCTACTAGTCAGAGCTAAGCGGAGATCGAGCGTAGTATCAGCAGGTGCCGGCCCAGTGAGCTTGAAGCCCGAGGGTATCGTGTCGCGAGACTCGTGCAACTCCAGACTACGTGCCACCGGCTTACCAGAGGTAAGAGCCGTTAGTGATAATAACGTCAGCACATTAAAAATCATGATGGGACGAATGGCTGATGTTGGGTATTCGTACTCGCATCCTTTTATGCGTGTGCTCAGATAAAACACATGAAAAGTTGTCCGTATGTTGGAAGGGGTTATGCAAGATTCCAGGCGTTCTGGGAAACTGGCAACATGATCGCACATTTGCCGAAAGACAGACACGAGGTACAGATGCAGGAAGTTCGGCATTTCACCGAAAATCTGATGTCAACTTCAGCTTGAATTATAGGCTAGATATTGTGGGTGACACACCGTTCATCTTGTGTACATGTCATATGTATTGCCCAAACTTCGAAATTTGATCGTGTAGGTGGTGAACAAGTTGCTCAAGTTAATACTACAAACTCAACAAAGTAGTCACAATTGGCGACATTCAATTTGACAACGAATACAGCAGGGGGTCCTACAGTAGTCTCTGCGGCGCCGAAGATATTGGCGCCAACGCTTGCCGGTAATTATTCAACGACAACAGAAGGAAAATGCGCCGTGAGTGCGGCGATGTAACGTGTGAGGATCTTCTCACATTTTCAGCATTTGAGCAATCATCAAATATGCTTACGGATAGCTCACCTGTATAACGGCAGGAGATTCCGATAGCATCCTATCGTAGGTTCGCCATTCTATTCGACCCATCATTCTTTACGGACACAGCGGGCATCCGTGACCGGGGTATCTATCCGAAGACTTAAGCCAGCAGGGAACGAACACGCGGGACTGAACCGGAATGTGCCAATTTGCGCTAGCGTATCCTCACAACATAGGGAGTGTGTGGCCATTTCGATATACGAGGCAATTACTTGAATCACTTCACATGTAAGTGCGTGGAAGAAGGCCGTGGGTATTGTGAAAATCCATCAGAAGTTGTACCTGAAAACTCTCGGCAAGGAGGATACAATATACTCTCAGAGAAATTAACATGGTCATGGCCTTTGCATAGGAAAGATATACCGATAATTATATCATCGCTAGCTTACGCAGTAATCCAAAGCATGCTGTCGGGTGTCGCGAGTTGTATACAGGTCATTGAGGCGACCCCGAGCAAAAGAGGAAAGCGTCGAGAACAAGAGCCTTCTCGAATGTACCTCGGCTCCGGCTTGTCAGTAGGCATGCTTACAAGTCGCAAAACCCACGAATTGCAGGCCTTGTTCTAGGCTTGTTTCATAGAGTGCTTCTGACAGACTCCGAAATCGGACCGGCGTAAATTGCTCTTCATGTACGCGATGAGATTCCAATCGTGTCTGCTGCTTATTTTACTGACGACATGAGAACGCATGTTGAGTCGTAGAATAGTACTTGAATGTGCGCGAGGATTGACGACCGTTTCCGATCTTCCTGCCAATTCCACTCCTCGAAAACATTAGCTTGGCGGTCCACAGTTGTCCGCGTACTACTTAGTGGCCCAGACTTCAGTTGGGCACCCACACTGTCACCCCACGCATTCCCTGAAGAATCACAGAGCTTTGTGACACTGACCTGTACGTGAGCATAAACTGATTGGTCTCGTCCCCAGATGTGTCGTCGAACTTGAACGTTTGAGCAATGAATTAATGAAGACGCGGTGCAACTTTTTGATACGAGGCGCCTGTTGTAACAGTCACAGTCACAGCAACAACGCAGCTGCAAGCCCGATATAGAAATTCAGTGTTCATGCGCATTGTCCTCAGTTCACTTTGTTCTGTGTTGTATTCACTGCGACAGCCGGCTTATGGTTTAAGATCATGGTTTCTCCTTTCTAAGGATCTGCGATGCTTAACACAATTTTCGGAGCTGCCTCTCTAGAATAATTCGATCCACAGGCCAACTATTCATTCTAAACGTTCAGACTCTCAGCGACGAGTCGCAGGTCGTCTTGAGTCTTGGAACCCATGATCACAACAAGTCAAGATAGCTAATAATTTCTGACCGCCTCGTACACCCAAGAAAACCTGCAGCAATCGTCTCACCACCCAAAAATACAGAACTAGTCGCGAAAGAGCAGAAACTCAGAAACACCGACTTTCCTTCAGAGACCCACAGCAGTCAAAAGATTAGCGAAAATGGGAGTGCCCAGCCCTGTGACCTGCAAAGGGGAAATAAGTACGATAGGTTGTCTCATTATAGCTCCAAGCCCCAAAGCACGTACCGGGTCCCATCCAGTCGTAGCAGAGAAACCATTCGTGTTGCATCCGGGGTTGTCTCCCGATGTAATATCCGTGAATGCAGAAAGACCTGTAGAATACAAGAACGGATTGAGCCACCCAAGTGTGGATTGGCCTGCGGCAACGAGGCGGTCATTAACGAGGGAAATGATGCTGGCAAATGTTGGGCTCGAGCAGCTTGTTCCATACATCGTGACCAATTTGCCTTGGTATGCGACGATGAAGTTGACGCCCTGTGCGGAAACATCTGGGTACGCGCGTCCCGAAGCGTTATACAGCCCAGCGTTTGTATTTCCCAAATATTCGAGGTACGTCTCAACCGCAGAGCTTTGGAAGGAGGGCTGGCTAAAGTAGTTAGAAAATCCGCCTGACGAGAAGGACGCTGCTGTTTCCGGGCTGAAGTCTTGAGTTGCACCGACGGAGGTGAGACTGCAATGTGACAAAGAGGTGAATATGACGATATATCACGGTCATAGAACTACGCACTAAGGGCAGCCGGATGGGAATGTGGGAACGAAATCCGTGCACGATGCAGCCCGAATCCCAGAGACTCCTCCATCTCCAGAAGAGAACAAAACAGAAACACCGCGTGCGCCAAGAGCAGCATATGCATTGCATAGGTTACTGAAAGCATGGATGAGGAAGGCGCAATTGGCAAGAACTTGTGACCTACTTTGCAACACTTACGGAAAGCACATCTTCATCTGCGTTGTAGCTAGTTGTGATCACGGAGGGAGGGTTCGTTTCGTCCAGGAAATAATTTGCTGTGTCGAGCCAACCAAAGACGTCATCTGTTGCGTCTTCACCCACAGAAAAAAAAGTGACGGGAACGTTCGTAGCAAGTCCCACCGTGTACTGCGTGTCGAGATTCTGTGCATTCATAAGTGATTCTGCCCTTACGAATCACGATCGCTAACACATACCGCCTCGTCGCCGGGATCACTCGGGTCATATTCCCCACCGTCGAGCTCCACCACCGTGTACGTGGTACTGCTTGATATGTCTGTACGCCAGTTTTCAAGAAATAGCTGCATGCGTTCATTCAGTACAATCGAATGGAACCAGAAATAAATTCCTTGCCTCAAGGTCGGAGGAGCTGGGATACTGGTCGTTGTATCCAGTGACGACAAGATAGTTCGAAGACTCAGTTGCAGGAGTTGTGGGAATACCGTACAGGGCCTGAAGACATGCGGGATCGACGTAGCCATTTTCGCAAGCTGATGACTCGGCTAGTATACTCGGTCCTATTGTCATATTATACTTCTTAGTTTGGACCGGCAGCTTTGGTACTGGAGTTGTGAATCTAAAAAGCATCGATATCAGCAGCATGAGCTGGTAAGAATCTGTCCTCAGACGCACGTAACAGTCGGATGCACGAGATCCAAGTGGCCCTTTAGATTCGAAGGTATGGAGTAAGAGAGTGTACGGATACTCTGTTGTTTACTGCCACTATAAGTGAAAATTGAGAAGTCTGCATCAAACATATCATTGGCCTGGCTGACGGGAACGGAGATCGCAAGCCAGTTTCCCGCAGAGTTGATGGTGGTTGCATTGATGTCATTCTCAGCAAGCCATTCATTGACGGCCATTAGTGACTCCTGCGTAGGCGCAAGGAACTGCTCTGTCTATAGCAGAATTTCAGTACCATATTTATTCAGATTTCTACACAGGCGTTGATACACACCTCCTCCTTGGATAGGTGCTGACCATAATTTGCGCTAGACGGAGTACTGACGTCGTACAATGTCTTGATGAGACCATCCGTATCGCTGCTGGTCAGTGCTAAGCGGAGATTGAGTACAGTTTGCGCAGGTGCTGGTCCAATGAGCGTGAAGCCCGGTGGAACCGTAGCACGAGATTCGTGCACTTCCAGGCTGCGCTCGACTGGCTTGCCCAGGACGAAAGCTGCTAGCGACAAGAGTACAAGTCTATAGAGCATTCTTGGGACACCCGCGAGTAAGTTGACTCGTTGAGATTCTGGTGTCTAACGTTCGACGCTTTTATGTGCATGCCAAGAGAAACACACATGAGTTGTAATTTGCAAAGCCGAATGAACCATGCGGGACCTAGGTCTTCTAACAGGAACAGAACTCGACAAAATGTACGCATATCTTCCAAGACAGATAGGTTCTGACCAAATCAGACATGAATTGACGAACGATGGTCAGAAGATACGAAGAGCATACCGTTTTCTGCACGTTTATGTGTCCGAAATTCCCAATGTCGACCAGTGATATATCTGCTCAAGCTCACGTTCAAAAACCTATGGAGCCACTAGTCGCGATCTGTTGCATGGACAATCAACTCATGACCTTCACAGTTCTATACGAAGTCAGAGTACCGATGGAAATAACTGGATTGACGTGCAACGTCTCGAATTGAGGCTACACTTGCGGAAGATGGATAATGATGCGATGATTGAAGAATCAAGCAGAGGACATATGCCATACGCCGCGATGGAAGGATAGATGATTTCCCACCATGTGAAGATGCACGATATCCGCTGTCAACACGGATGGGAATGCATTCCTGTTTTTAGCCCGAAGTTGTGCGTGGCGCAACCGACTTACATTTGAGAAAAAGAAAGGCATGATAGCGCGCCAAAAATGCTCCATTCACCAAGCAGATGAAACCATCCACCCGCATAATGGTAGTAGTCGCTGTGAATACTGTATTCCTCGAGAAGAGCAAAACCTTAGAACAAAGGAATGTACGCTGGGTGCGAAGATGCCCTCTTTGCTTGCCAAACCCTGCGAGGCTGCAAGAATATAGCTGAGCGATGGTTCGGGGTGGCACGACCAAGTCAAGGTGGATAGCACCACATTCAAAGTTTTATTGTTCCCCCGAAGTCTGAGAGCCTCGAATCGCCGCCGAGCGTCCAGCGGCGCGGAATTTTCATTTCGTCGTGCTCATGGTTCCCGCGTGCCAGTGAGTCTATAAAAAAGAAAGCTTACTAGAGATAGAGTACATGGAGTAATGGAGGAATGTCCGATGTTATTTTATCTAATCCCACACCAATCTATGTGTTAATGATCTAGTTATTAGCTGCGACGTGCTCAAGGCTGTAGACTGCACTCACATATCCATTTCTGCAACCCGGCTGAGATTTCTATCGAATGCGTCACAAGGAGCATCATGCGTGAATGTGAGCGATCTTTCTCGCTACGTCCTCAATTGCCTGCCATGTTGACAAACAGCGCTCTATAAGATCCCGTTCGGATATTGCCTCTGCAATAGCCATCCGCGCCTTGTGCCTGTTGTGCGGTAGATTCTGTGACGGCACATAAGCAGCAAATCTTACAACAATATAGAATACCCACGGCGCATATACGCCATATGTCATCCGAGCTCATATCAGGATATTTGCCTATACGAGATAGTCGGCGGGCGAAGACCTCGTTGACGATTCGCAACATCTGGAACGTAAGTTCTCGTTCTGCCTGTTGCCAACATCAAAAGCAAGGAAGCAGTTTAAATCGTCGCTACACGTACCTCCACGTCATTGCCCATGGTTTCATAGTTTATCGCAACTTCCCACGAAGCAGTACTTGAATCCAGGTCAGGTTTTTTGACGAGCGAAATACGCAGCAGGATTTCCATGATGTTTCTGCAGGCCATCGTGAGCGTGTCGATGAAAGACTTGGTCCGATTCTTGATCGCGTCGTTGATGTCAACGCCAGATGTGATGTAGCCTGGTAGGACGAGCCACAGGTTAACGAACATCCACATATGCGTGGTCATTCGGCCAGAGCTGTCGATGCGCAGTTTTGAGCCTCTGCGCCTATGGTCATCTGAGCATAAAAAGTTGCCTTTATATAATACTGAGTAATCATATCCAGAATGTTCCAGTCGGTCACTTGTAGCCTCCACCAACCGGAGAAATGAGTCAAGCGAGATCCCGGACATTATCGTGTTAGTTGCGTCTCTTTTCTGGCCTGAAGCTTGGATGGCAAGGAGATCGTCTTTGAGTTCAGATGCATCCCATGAAATGGTGTTATCCTCGTTAAACTCGAGTGCGAATCCGTGATGCACGAGGAGGGAGGCATTAGATTTCGCCAAGCCATAACACATCAGAATTTCTTGAGAGTTCGCCTCAAATGCTCCAATCACTGCGCATGCATCATTCTTTTGAAGATATGCAGACAGTTGTGATTCTGGGGGCCGTCTCGAACCGTGAGAACAATCGTTCTGCGATCCGCAGGTAGGACAAACGTGGGATATGACCTAGGCAGTAAAGGCGAGGTGAGCCACTTTCGGTCTATAGGCATGAAAGCAATGCGTACCTCGAAACGAGCGTGAGAATTCATGACACTGGCATGATTGAAGCTGGTACGCATGGACAGGTGAAAATTATTGATAATGTCAGATAAATTCAGAGATCACATACGCGTCTGCAATCGGAACCATGCATAGTCCATGGTACGCATCGGCTCGGAGCGCACGCGAAGACACGAGGGCATAAGCGTGCAAGAAATATTCTGGAGTGACAGGAATCTCCAGCTTTGAAAGAACAGGCGAGGCAACTGTCTCGTAGTACGTCGCGATCTGGTCCTGTCAAAGATTGTAAGCGGGATTGAACGCCCAGACATGCCCGCAATGGCCACCTACCAGGTAGTATCGACTTCGAACCTCCTTCTCTACCTCAGTCCCGACAATCCATTCTGATGCTTCCCTACTATCGTCGTCTGGAAAGACATCTCTAGTGCCCCAAAAGAGGGCAAGCGGCACAGTCTTTGGAAGAGCCTGCAAATATCCAAACCACCTAGAGTCTCTGCCTCGCACCCTGAATCCGTGTAAATGCAAATACGACGTGGTAGTAAGCAGACTGACAGCTCACTAAAGAGCGCGAGGGCTAAGGAAAGTTTAGCGCTCATTTCATCGTCATCTAATCCCGAAATAGGAGGAATGTGCTGCGCGATCGTACACGATCGCACCGACAACAGCGCGGACCTCGGGATGGTCATCACTATACTGGTGAGATAGCGATCAGTGAGTTCAAGTCGAGACTCACGGGTGGTATCCGACGGGATATCGTCATGAGAAAAAACAGCAATACCTGGGCGGGTGTCGGGCTCAAAATAGGCTTCAAGATGTATCCCAGGATGAATTGCAATGTCGTTTGCGCATGCCCAGTCAAGGAGTATGCCCAACCTGTCGCCATCTTGTTGGTGTAGCACAAAATAAGATTCCGAACTTGATTTGGAACCAGAGCTCCTCATGATAGGGCTTGCCACTGTGTCAAGAGGTGTGTTCAAGTGTGAGTTGGCGAATGCAACAGCGAGGAATTATGTATTGAAATGGAAGAATAGAGAGACTCCAAATCTGTTGGAGCTGATACAGTGTGCTGGCAGGCTGAAGCAGAGAAGAGCGATGATAATGTCCGTAGCTACTGTGTACAATATATACAATTAGTCGTAGGTCATAGCGAGGTTCTTGGGCCTCCGCCACTGTCCGCATAAAGCGTGGGGTGTGGCCGCGCTTTGTGTGGTCCTTTCTCGGGCTTGTCATTTGTAGCATATCCACGCCGTATCCCAATAGAACCATTGATCACATGCCATGTGTGTGTTACACCACAAGAATTGTACATGAAACTACCTGCAAGTTGATCTTCTTGTTCTCCCTTGTCTTCGTGGCGTTCCAACAATGTCTAGTCATGTTCCTCGTCTCGAGATCAGTCAGTCGACTTGGCGATGGTCTCCTGCAGGCTGCAACCTCATCAAGCTATACGTGATATGTACTTGTCCAATTTCAGAACTGTTGACATAATGTATTTGGCGCTCAAAAGGAATACCCAAGTCATTACTAGATCGAGTATGTATACCTTTCTTCGCGTTGTCTATGGGATGGAACCTATACTTTTACTAGGTTTTGGAAAAGCTGCCTGTAGTTCCTCCTCTTCCAAGCAGCTGCGCAAAGCGCGATCGCACATAGCAAAGCCGCAAGCCTCGGGCCTCTAAACGTTTGTCCCCTTGCCCACCTCTCTTTACTGGGGCCCTTTACAACGAAATCATCCCAGTGGACGCTTTTCAATAGCCACCAGAACCATGCATGCGTCCATGGAAACAGGCTGAAATTCTTACCGCCCACTCGGAACCACGAAGGTGGGCAGCCTGTGTATGATGCCGTGGAGAGCGCTGCTTGCAGCCGCGCATTGTACTTCTCGTGCGAGGCAGGACAAGAGCTGATCTCATACACCGGAGCGCATGGGCGAAGGAGGGGGGCGAGCAGTTTCATAATATAGTTGATCTGTGCAACGGTTACAACGATGCTTGCAAATGCACACAAGTGAGTACATACTTCTATTTCGTGCGTGTACACTGCCGACCCATTTCCTGTAACAGTGTTTGGTCCTAACATTTGCTACTAAGTCACGTGTCCCCTTTGATCATCGGTAGGCAGACTGACCTCCAATAAAGAAGTAATTCGGAAAGCCAGGTACGCTCACGCCTCGGTATGCCGTGGGTACACCTTGTGTAGCGTTGTATCCATCCAACGTCAACCCTTCGCTCCCTGTAACCATAACGGGATACTGTCCCTGCGTTATGATAGCACGAATTGGATTCATGAACGCGCGCGACGAGCTTGTTGCTCACTGTAACAAACCCCGTGGCGAGCACAATGACATCGCAAGGTATGTGTTCTCCTATAATAACAAGCGATCCACACGTGGGACGTCACATATTTATCGACAGACATTATATCATATATCAAATCAACAAGCTTACCTTTCTGTGTACAGACACCGGTCGGAGTAATCTCCTCAATTCCATGCCAGTTCAGATCGATATTCGGAAAATGGAGACACTCAAGATATCCAGGATCAAGAATTGGTCGACGACATCCGAGTGCTGGGCGATAGTCCCCTGCATTAATTTCACTTCCAGATATCTGTACTTGAACGCTCACGATATCTGGGTATTAGTTTTTCGTGATGGCGTTGAGGTGCAGTGCGTCGTATATAGTCTCTCAATTCCTGCATGTAGCCCGAATGAGCCCTTGCTCATCGTCAAGGGAGATTGAACTCACTTCTTCCCAGCCCCCTTGCCCATGCAGTCTCCTCTTCAAGGTGAAAATGTAAGGCTCGGATAAGCGTATCTAACGAACATGGAATTCATCCCCCCAATTCACAAATCATCAAGGATTGTATGCGGTACTGACCAGAAGCACCCAGAGACGATAGAGCCTCAGCGCAAGCGGGACTTTTGCGAGCACCCACCGCCTTCGCGGTGAATAGTCTGCACGCGACTAACACAATCAGAACTGTATACACTCAATTACCACGAGACATAACACTCACACCATACAGATACCAGTTCGGCAATCGACAAAATTGCACAACTTGTGTACCTGCACTCCTAAGAAGGCACGGCACGAACTGGGCACTAATCAACGACCCATATTCGCAATCCGGTGGGTCAGTATGATCCCGTAACTAGGCCGATGGACTCACGCAGATGCCCCATTCCCCACAACTACGACTTTCTTGCCTCTGACATCGACTCCGTGGTCCCATCTCGCCGAGTGGAAGTGCGGGCCCGTAAAAGTACTCAAACCCTTGATATCTGGTGTATACGGCTCGCTGAGGATCCCTACTACCGATACTACCGCACGCGCCCACACACTCCTCCTTTCTGCTCCGCCCTGCTCCTCTGTCACAAAAACCTCATACTCGTGCCGGCCTGCATTCCAAGTCGCTGCGACGACACTTGTATTGAACACCGTATGCTTGTACAGATCATATTTGCGTGCGAGCGAGAGCCAGTATGCAAGTAGCTCTGGTTGAGGCGCGAGTGTTGTACTCCAGTCTGGATTCAGCTCAGTCGAGAGGCTATACCAGTGAGAAGGAGTGTCGCAAGCAGAGCCCTGTTATACGTGGTCAAACTTGTGCTTTCTTCGAGTGCACAATGAGGCGTGATGTCATACAGGGTACGTGTTATCCTGTATAGTCACAGATGATCAGGCTTCGACATGTCATAAGCACGAACGACATACCCTCCACGTTCCACCAAGCTCTGCAGCTTTCTCGTAAATCTAAGAGAATGAGATCTAGCACATGCGATCGTCCGCGGTGCCCGACTCACGGTAAAATTGTGGAAATCTAGCTGTGTTTTCAATGCGATACCGCACGCGATTCCCCCAAGGCTTCCTCAGACATCACCGCACGAACAGTAAGATTAACGATTAGTAAGCAATGACCAACCGAATCCATGTACACACTCACCCGCCACCGATAATCACAACGTGCGGAGAGAGCCGACTCGAGGAGCCTGCTTGGGATGCCATACCCTGGACGACGTGTCCGACGTCTCTGGGGGGATAGGTCACCGAATGTGAGGGATTGCCTAAATATCGTGCAGCGTTTTTCTCACCCGTGTGTTTCTAACGAGCTAATTGCGTACATTATATCGGCACGATAGGGCCGGACGCTCCGCGAGCGTGAAGGAAGTGCTTCGTCGCGGCGTGAGCCAATCCTGCTTCGGTATACTTAGGTACTGATAACGGCCGTGTATCTGGGGTAGTCACGAGCTCCTCTATATGAACTCTAGATTCAGCGTTACTTCTTAGTGCTACCAGCATGCAGAGTCTTGCAAGCTCGTTTGAGAATGGTGCGACCGTCAGTCTGATTGATATCTTGACTTGAAGCGCAATAGTCGAATTGACATTATTTATAACACTTGCTCAAGTGCTCCTGGATCCTGCGGCGGGAAGGATACGGCAAGACGTCATGTCACCATAAGTATGTGTGTGATAGCAAACCGAAGTTACGTACACTGCCGCAGCCTGTCCCGCATGCCCATATTGCGCAGATTTCTGATGACATCTAGAGTATTAGCCAATTGTGTAAGCGATTGTTTCAAATCCATTGACGCACCGAGCTCGACAGCCTCGAAGAAGTGGTATGCTTATTCCCGGGTCGTTCCTCCATGATAAGGACTTAGGTAGATCCAGAGTCTGCTCAGACTGTATCATCATAAGGACTTAGGTAGATCCAGAGTCTGCTCAGACTGTATCATCGATTCCAGCGCTATAGAACCGACATCGGGGATGAACACAGCAAGTTATGACTATGTCGGCCAAGTATGATACGGCCAACGCATTGGTCGAATTCAGATGAAAGCTGTCACTCGCCACGGCGTGATGGATTCCCGTGATCCGTGACAGCGTGAAAAACGCGCCTCGTTGGCGCCGTTAGCGCGCCTGTTCTCGCGCGGGTTCTCTACTACGTGTGTACTCGCTCATGGCACCATGGACCTGGATGTCATTTTTTGGTGGCGCTGCAAGGTAATTATCACCTTGTAGGCTGTAATCTCGCGGCACGTTGATACCGCTCATTATACGTCTACAAATTGGCCTATACAAGCGCGTTCTCACCTTTGCATGGGTGGGGAGATCACAAACTTGCAGGTCCTCGTCGGTCCGCATTCTTTTACGCTTCTCTTATTAATCTACTTCTTGTTTGTGTTTGATGACCGCACACTGACGGGTAAATGCCTCCCGCATCGTTTATTCTCCATTGTCGTACGTGTTTTCTGCATTACTTATGTACCTCTCTTGTACTACTAGTGTGCAATCCAGAGCCGGCGATGAGTCTTGTCCACAGTTGCGAATACGCAGCATTAGGATTTTCATTGTTTATGTGTCAGGACTACCGGAATCGTCAGCCACCTTCCGGGAAACTCGGCGGCCACAGTATTGCTTATATATGTAACGTATGGAATAAAGTGATCGAACGGCAGCGTCGACCTCGTTGCTTGCAGATCGGAGACAACGTTCCTCAGATAAAGGCGGCCGACGACGCAAAATTATCAAAATAAACCGTTTTGATCGGCACCGATGCCATCAACGTGTCAGGCGAAGAAAGCCGGAGGTTTCGACCTCCCACTGGAACAAGGATCAGATCGATGTAGCATTCGATCACAGCTCCGCTAAGACTCGGATCTGGTAAGTAATTATGAACAAATGAATTGTGTATGTGCAAAACCGACTTGGCCGTGCGTACCCAGACTGTGTTGTAGATACATTCAAGACGGAACTATTAATACTATACAATCTTCGTTTCTATATGTTACTTTACTTCCGCTCTATTACTTACCTTTATACGCCAACTCCGCTGCGTACCATTAGAGACGCCAGCGCGTCGACTTCCCTCAGTCCCCAATTACCATATCCCGGACTGAGGTACGTTCGTTATCACCTATATACACTCGTACTGACACGTACACAGACACTCTTATTATAGATACTTACCTTAGTCCCCGATTACCATATCCTGGACTGAGACACTCATTATTATAGAGTGAACAGATATAAGACGCGCAGAGGAGCGAATTCACTTCTACGTTGCAGATACTAAGCGGAGGCACTGAATCTGAGATGAATTCCGAATGCGAGCGTAAGCCTACCGCGACGAAGTTGAGGACTGGAGTTTCGATGAATTGCCACTGCCGTTCAAGCACGCGCACAACGAAGATATGGGAACTCTCAGCCCAAGAGCTATCGCATTCATGACGTCCTAACTAAACAACCAATTACCCTAGATACAATAAAAGTACATATACACAAACGTTCGCCACATTACCCATCATGTTAGTTTAGTTGAGCTCATCCAAAACCATCCCATCGCGCTTGAGGAAATGGAGGAGGAAACCTCCAACCTTGCTGACGTCGCTGCCAACGGTCTTCCAGTTGACTGCTTCGCTGCCCGCTGCCGGTGCTGCACGCGCTTCGAGAACGTCCTCTCGCTTCCGGAGGCCACTGAGCAGACCCTTGCCAAAGTTCTCGAAACCGCTCTCGACGCTCTTCCAGTTGATCGCCTCGGAACCGTCGACCGGCGCATTGCGGGCCATGAGCTCGAGCTCAAATTCGCGCGCAAGGAGAGGATCCTCGCGCTTGAGGAAGTGGAGGAGAACGCTGCCGACCTTTCCAACATCCGAGCCAACGGTGTTCCAGTTCACGGCTTCGCTACCCGTAGGGGGCGCCGCGCGGGCCATCAGTTCGTCCTCGAATGCACGAGCTAGAACAGGGTCCTCGCGCTTGAGGAAGTGTAGTAGAACGCCGCCAACTTTGCCGACGTCGGAGCCAACAGTCTTCCAGTTGACCGCCTCGCTACCTGCTGCGGGCGCATCCTCGCGCTTCCGGAGGCCACTGAGCAAGCCCTTGCCAAAGTTCTCGAAGCCGCTCTCGACGCTCTTCCAGTTGATCGCCTCGCTGCCGTCAGCAGGAGCGTTGCGGGACATGAGCTCGAGCTCGAATTCGCGCGCGAGGAGAGGATCCTCGCGCTTGAGGAAATGGAGGAGGAAGCCTCCAACCTTGCTGACGTCACTGCCAACGGTCTTCCAGTTCACGGCTTCGCTACCCGTAGGAGGTGCCGCGCGGGCCACGAGTTCGTCTTCGAATTCGCGTGCAAGGAGCGGATCCTCGCGCTTGAGGAAATGGAGGAGGAAGCCTCCAACCTTGCTGACGTCGCTGCCAACGGTCTTCCAGTTGACTGCTTCGCTACCAGCTGCGGGTGCTGCACGTGCCTCGAGAACATCCTCGCGCTTCCGGAGGCCACTAAGCAGGCCCTTGCCGAAGTTCTCGACACCGCTCTCAACGCTCTTCCAGTTGATTGCCTCGCTGCCGTCAGCAGGGGCGTTGCGGGCCATGAGCTCGAGCTCAAATTCGCGCGCAAGAAGAGGGTCCTCGCGCTTGAGGAAGTGGAGGAGGACACTGCCGACTTTTCCGACGTCCGAGCCAACAGTATTCCAGTTCACAGCTTCGCTACCCGTGGGGGGTGTCGCGCGAGCCATGAGCTCGTCCTCGAATGCGCGAGCAAGGACAGGGTCCTCGCGCTTGAGGAAGTGCAGCAGAACACCGCCGACCTTTCCGACATCGGAGCCGACAGTCTTCCAGTTGACTCCTTCACTTCCCGCTGCGGGCGCATCCTCGCGCTTCCTGAGACCGCTGAGCAGGCCTTTTCCAAAGTTCTCGAAGCCGCTCTCGACGCTTTTCCAGTTGATCGCCTCAGAACCGTCGGCGGAAACAGCAGTGCTAGATTACACCAGCGATAAGCATTTCTCAGCGCACAAAGAAGGGATAGCTTACGTGGCCACGGGACGAGCGAGACAAGGAACAGCGGAGATGGCAGCGATGATGAGAGGAGCAGCGATGTAGGAACGCATGATGATTCGATGAGATATGATGTGAGTGTGTCGTAAAAAGAGTGTTCAGAGGGTACAAGAGAGTATAAGAGGCTGTCGTTAGAGTCGAACGGAGGTCGTAAAGATGAGATGCGATATAGAATAAAACAAGCAAGGCTAGTGGACGTTTCAGCTCAGGAAGCAGCGAAAAACATGACTAGATGAACTTACTAGCCGGTACCTGTACTTGGAAGTCTTGAGCTCGAATGAACGAAGGCTGAGAGCTGGGGGACAGTAGCGGAGAGGGGGATCCTTAAATACTTTAGAAGTCCTATGTTAAGCGCGGGTAGCACGCAGATATTCCCCAGATGTGAATTGACTGTCATCGCCCATGTCACCGTTGAGCGTTGCGTGACATTACGGTACTTCCCACATGTGTTGTTGGAGAAAAATGATGGGCCCTTTCGAGTAAAGCTATGGGAACCGCATCTCTCCCATCCGCCATCCGAGGTCAGCGCCACAAGCTCTGCTTGGTATTCTCGGCACTCTCGTAGCAGTTCAGGTCGAAGAGCTGCCCGAGAAGTTGTGCTCAAGTGGGATCCGGGGACGAGAACGCTGGGCGGCAATGATGAACAGCGGGCGCACAACCGAACACGAGTGTGATGGGACCAGAGGCCATTGCAGAGCCACTGGTCGCCCGATGCAGGAACAGGCGACCGGTACCCGAGCTGTCGTCGGTTGGCTGTACGCATCATTTAGAATCCCGGGATAAAAAAACCAGGCTAATTTTAAAATACACCAACAGATCCAGACACGGGGATGAACTCACCTGCTTAACGCCCACGCTTCGATGGTACCAGCTCTTGAATTCATCCCTTCTCACGATGGCTACAAGCATCAAGATGGATGCCGTAGCAGTGAACAGTGGACTTGAATATCTTGAACTTTACTACTGATTAGTTAGATGCTAACAAATCAGATTCGCCAGGGTTAGGGGAGGGAGACATACCGTTTAGAACAGCGATCATAAATCTGTCGCGGGGTTGCACAGCAACCAGGTGCACATCGAGTCTTGAAAGGAGGAGCGCTGTAAGATTGATCGATGCAAATTTACACGGATTTCTCAAGGCCGCTCAGAACACAGCCTCGAGACGGAGGACGCTCGCAGTGCAGGAGGACATATGCGTCCGATGCGAGCAGCGAACGAATCGATTTGACATGGAGCTTTATCCAGGAAAACGGCTTGCAGGAGAGCGGCGCGCTGCTACTTGGAGCGATCGTGGGAACTCAAGTTCAGCGTGCGATCTCGCCGTTCGAGGCTGCCACATGATATGTTCCCTGAGTTGCACACGATTGTCAATCACGTAGGAGTTGAACCATCGTCTGGTGGAACTGTCACTTGAGGCTGGCACAGGATTTCTCGCACGAAATCCGGACAATTTCGGGTGATTTACCACGACCGTAGCACGAGGTTAGGACAATATTCGATGAAGATCACCCTAGAATCATACGCAGACTACTGTAGGAGCCACACCTGGACAGCCTACGCTGAAGCTCCCAAGCTTTCAAGTTTGAACTTCAGTTGATGCGCGCCCCGAGAAACGTACCGCCTCTCCGGACACCGTCACGCAACACCGCAGACTATCGTAGGATAACTAAGCTGAAACGACAGGACAGCGAGGTTCCGCGCGCCTCCGCTCTGGATGCGGCCTCACTTCATCGGAGCCGCACATTAGGCGAGTCACTTTGCGTATGACTTGGTAGAAGAAGGGCGAGGAGGCGCGACGGTTGGCGCGCTGACCATTGGCGCTTACTGATAAAATATTGATACTAGCGTATGTCCCACAAGATCTATTTCATTGAGCAATAGTTATCCTCTTGGATTATGCACGCCGACATTGGTCTAGTGGACGATGAGTATAACAAAAACAAACATATGCTACTAGTACATACAGAGAGCAGTCATGGTGGAACAAAGAAAAATCATCTCCCGCGCGATCATTGGATCAGATCGGACGAACACCGGGGACCGGGCCGAGGCTAGCGGAAAGCCAAACTTAGCTCGCCAGATACGGTGGCACGGCCTCTGAAATTAGATCGATTTTCAAGCTCGTCTACATACATACAGTACTACTCATTGCCCATGTGGAATTTCAGGTAGACCGGTTCAACTTATCTCTTTCGGCGATCTTTGTAGCACTGGACCATGTACTATAGTCAACAACATAGTCGTATCCGTTTAAAGTGCTTATGTCAGGACCGATGATATTCAATTTTTTATACAAAAAGGCCATCCAATACGTGAGTACCCGAGTACAAAGGTTTTGCGGCGAGCAAGTAATTAGTGTAAACCAATCAAGCTCCCGGGATGTCGTGAGACCATTGCCAGCATCTCCTTCGATTCTCACCAAGTCTCGCATTCGGTATCATTTATCGCATCAGTTTTGAAGACCGCGTATCCTCGCTCACAAGGCCGAATTAAAGAAGCACTCAATCACGCACTAGAGATTAGAGAACTCTCAGCCTGAGCTCCGCATTCATTACGTTCGACTACACGGCTAATTCTACATACACATGATCCAAATATCACCCTGTAACAAGATATCGTAGCCACAATACCCTCCATCATACTCTAGTCAAGCTCGTCCATCGCCATGCCGTCGCGGAGGAAGTGGGAGGCAACCGTGCTGCCGACCTTGCCAACGTCGTAGCCGATCGTGTTCCAGTTCACCGCCTCGCTACCAGTCGGAGCAGCGCGGGCCATGAGCTCGTCTTCGACGGCGCGCGCAAGGAGAGGATCTTCGCGGATGAAGTGGAGGAGGAAACTCCCAGCCTTCCCGACGTCCTGGCCGACCTGCTGCGCGCTGATCGCTTCGCTGCCGGCTGCAGGGGCTGCACGGCCCATGATCATGTGGGGGTGTTTCTCCCGCTCTTGAGGGGTGGAAGGGCGGCGCTCGGGAATATGGTCTTCACGGAGGAAGTGGGCCGCAACGCTGCCGACCTTGCCAACATCGTATCCGACCGTATTCCAGTTGATCGCTTCGCTGCCCGCTGCCGGCGCTGCACGCGCCTCAAGAACATCCTCACGCTTCCTGAGGCCACTGAGCAAGCCCTTGCCGAAGTTCTCGACGCCGCTCTCGACGCTCTTCCAGTTGATAGCTTCGGAGCCTGTGGGCTCCTCGCGCTTGAGACTGCTGATGACGCCCTGGCCGAACTGTCCAACGTCGTGTTCGACGCTCTTCCAGTTGATCGCCTCGCTGGCATCACCGGCGTTCTCGCGAAGGAAGTGGAGGAGCACACTACCAACTTTCCCGACGTCCTGACCGACCTGCTGTGCGCTGATCGCCTCACTGCCAGCTGCAGGGGCTGCGCGGCCCATGATGTAGCGGTCCTGCTCTTCCAACTTTTGAAAGGGGTTCTCGCGGCGCCTGAGACCGTCGATAACGCCTTGGCCGAACTGCCCAGCGTCATGCTCGACGCTCTTCCAGTTGATAGCTTCAGAACCTGTGGGCTCCGCGCGCCTGAGACCACTGATGACGCCCTGGCCGAACTGTCCAACATCGTGCTCGACATTCTTCCAGTTGATCGCCTCGCTGGCATCGCCAGCGTCGTCGCGGAGGAAGTGGAGGAGCACGCTGCCAACTTTCCCGACGTCCTGGCCGACCTGCTGTGCGCTGATCGCCTCACTGCCAGTTGCAGGGACGGCACGGTCCATGATGTAGTGGTGGTTCTCTTCCCACCCTTGAAGAGTGGAAGCGCGGCGCCGGAGACCGTCGATGACGCCCTGGCCGAACTGCCCAGCGTCATGCTCGACGCTCTTCCAGTTGATAGCTTCGGAACCTGTGGGTTCCTCGCGCTTGAGACTGCTGATGACACCCTGGCCGAACTGTCCAACGTCGTGCTCGACGTTCTTCCAATTAATCGCCTCGGAACCTGTGGGTTCCTCGCGCCTGAGGTTGGGGGCGTAGATGCTGTGGCCGAGCGGTCTAGCTTCGTCCCCGAGTTGCTTCCAGTTGATCGCCTCGCTGGCATCACCGGCGTCGTCGCGGAGGAAGTGGAGGAGTACGCTGCCAACCTTGCCGACATCCTGGCCGACCTGCTGCGCGCTGATCGCCTCGCTGCCAGTCGTAGGGGCTGCACGGCGAAGGAAGTGAGAGGCGACGCTGCCGACTTTGCCGACGTCGTAGCCGACGGTGTTCCAGTTAATCGCTTCGCTGCCTTCAGCAGTAGGAGCGGGGCTGTCAAAAAGTCGAGTTGAGCTCGTGAGGAATAAATTAGTGTGGCGCAAGACATACCTGGCGATAGGGCGAGCAAGAGACGGAGCCGCAGAGAGAGCAGCAATGACGATAGGAGCAGCGACGTAGGAACGCATGATGAGAGTAATAAAGATAATTGAAAAGGTTCGTAAGGCGGCGATTAGAGTGCAAGGAGCGTGGTCGTAAAAATTCGATAGTCGAACGGAATTCGTGAAGATGAATGCGAATAAGAAAAAATAAGCAAGGCTGTAGAATTGGTTGTCAGCGGATGAATCGCAAGGAAAGCGACATTGAGACTTACTAGCCAGTACCTGTACTTGGAAGTCTTGAGCTCGAAAACGAAGGCTGAGAGAGCTGAAGAACTGCAGCATAAACCTGTGGGCTTTTATATGCATTGCACCCCTTGGCACTACCTCTTCTGACAGCGGAGTGGCCATCACCAGTAGCACCACAGCGGTAATCCACGCATCAGGTCCGCTGTCAGCGCACCTCGAGTCGAGACAATCGGTAGCATTTCCCGTTGTCGTTACAGTGAACGATGGTACAGCGCTTGCTCTCGTGCATGTGGCGGTTGGTTGGCAGTGATGCGACGAAGATCCGACCAGGTCGCGCTAGAATTTTTCAATGCCCTCAGCGTGTGACGGCGTTCCATACTTATCCGCAGAGGCAATGTTGACAGCGTTGGTGCCGACGAGAGCTTGCGAGAGGTTAGTTGCCCCGTGACGAAACCCACCACAGCCACAGATTGATCCGCTTCAGCATCCGATTGCCTCCAAGTGGGCGTCAACTCAACAATTCGGGTAACTCACGGATATGATTAAGATACACGAGATGCCGATCGAATGCCTATGCAGGCACCGAGGGGGTTTGCGAGTACGACTTTCCCCATGTCGCGTACCAGCTGCAGTCCGCAGAAAGGCTGGCTGCATAGCGTCTTGAGAGCGTTTGCTCGACTGGATGAATCTCGGCGACCATCAGTCATCTGTCAACGTCAAGTTTCCTCGCAGTGCACTGATCTCTCACGGAGGTTAGAGTGGACAGCTGCTGGCACCGACGACGGGGAGCCGTCCGGCGCTTGCTCAGCACTCCCCCTACTTTGGAATGAGCGGTCTACGAAGGCGGCTAAGAATATTAAACAATCATCCAGTCACTGTTCTGACAGAGATGCACCGCGTGCGAGCGTGATGGTGGCAATGCATCTTAGCCAGGATGATGATGCACGGCGAGAAAAAATGGGTTAACAGTTAATCAGTATGGCGTTACGAGAATTGTCTTGCTGTATTTTAGCAACAACCATGAACACAGGTTCAAGGTGCCAATACACTCAATGTGACACCATTCACCCCAAATGGCACTTTCAAGACAGCATCTACTTCAAGTTACGTCGGGGTGAAAGACATTGTGGTCGCACGCACCAGGAAACATGGCGTCGGCTCATGCCAAGGCGTTCTTGGTCTCAGTTCAGGCGTCATGCTGTTGCTGTGTGCAAAGTCCGCCGCTCTACCGGCTATGCGCGCTCTCATCAGGTCTAGTTGAACATTAGTGCATCGGTCCGCATCGCATGACACTTGGCGTAGCGGAGTGCGAACTGCCACATGCAGCAGAAGTTTGCGGGCCCGTGCAGTAGCGGTTAGTCAGTCGCGGACTGCCAGGCAGTGCGTTCAAAAAGGCGGCGAGACAGAAACTGTCGCCAAAGTACCACCGTCAAGAGGGAGATGCACGTTGTTCTCACAGTCGACCTTGACAACCGCAGCAGCAGATGCGGATCGTCTAGACCAAGGAAAGAACTTCTGAAACTATGCGGGACCTCTAGTTCGAGGCCGACACGCACGACTCTAGTACACAAGATCCTGTTGGACACGTGTGGATCTCCTGTAGCTCACAACGATGCGATAGTAAAGCGTCCGCGGATATCAGTTACGGATTGAATATCTCGGACCAAAATCCCATACTGATCATTCATCGTCACAAGCTCCTAGGTCTAATACCTTCCGTTTCCACCTGTTTCCTTTGCATCGGTCCATATCCTGTGGTGTTAAATCAGAGGAAAGATGCGCGCGAAACCAACATGGCAACGTGGGCTGAGTCCAATCCATCAAGAAAACGATTCCCCTTCAAGAATGTCTGAGATCACCTGAGATTTCCAGAGCACACCAATTTGGTCGAAGTGACCGACCGCCCGCATTCTTGTAAGACTAATACTTGCTACCGTCTCAGTGAGGAGCTGGACGAGCTGGGGCGTCGTTTCCGTCTTACTGAACGTTTTCTGTCACTCTGCATGTATGATATGAAGTATTAAGTGGTAAATAAATTAAGAAAGAATCAAGAACAACCCAACAAGTCCGCCTTATTAGGCGCCCATATTTCCAATTACATAGGCAATTGGTTTTGTCTGTTCGAAAGTGCCATAGGTTAGGGTTAGTTGCTGCGGCATGCTTCTTCAGGCTTGAGATAATGCTCGCTGAACTCTAATAAAAGAGGGAAGGGTGCGGTCAGTGAAACTTTATCGCGTTGATGTGGGCCTCAGATGGTTACATGCCAGATCAGTCGGCTGCCCACGTAGCGCGCATGACATTCGGCTCCAAGGCTCACAAGCCGTCCGTGAACCATATCTTTCAGCTAGAGATGTCGAGCGCATCACGTACCTCAGTAAGTTCTACATGTTACGTGGGGATTGCGAAGTCCATCAGCATTGTCACAAATAATGCATGTGTCTCATTCTCGCTTAGGTCCGTCTGATCCTTAGTTCTTGTGACCGCCTGATATCGTGGCGTACGCATGGATAGCATCACGATACTGAGCGACGCAAGAGAACACAACATGATAACAACGACGATTGGAGCAGTTTTGACATGAGAGCGACCGAAAGGGAAGCTGTACCCCAACACCCATCGTTAAGGTCCATGGTTGGGTTGGCAGCACGATAGGGAAACAGAATTCGAAAAATTGAAGGTCAGTTGTCCGATACATCGCTGAATGCTGTCGAGACCTAGTGTCCGTCTAAGCATGAACAATGCAATAGAAAGGAAGCGAGAGATAACGTTGGAACTCAAGCTAGTGCATCGCCTGAGAGAAGAAGCGGCTAAGGAAGGCGTAGCTAAGGACTCACGAGCAGCAATGGAAATCTTCTTGATAAAACGAATCCAGTATCACTCTCCAATAACATACGTACAGCCTTCCTTTCCGATCCACACCTCGTGAACCTTGTCTGCCGGGACATCAATACGCGCGCCAGGTCCAAATGTCTCTTTCTTGGTCGGATCATCTTGCGGATACCTGACCGTAAGCTCACCGGACAGGATAAGGTGCGTCGTCAACCCAGAGTGGGAGTGTGGATTATAGTGATAGTTTCTGCAGCTGGGATCTAAGGATGCACGGAGGAGATACGAAGACATGTAATGGACTCACGGACTATCGGTCCATGTGTATACATGCGGAAAACCCCAGGAGCGAACTTGTATCTCTGCATCTCTGCGTGTGAGAGATGACATCGCAAGGTCTAGCTCAGCAAGATGAATTCAATGATATATAGGAATGGCTGAAAGAAATGAGGTATCTGAAGTATGGAGCCCCGCGCATCGGAACCGTGGGAATACGAGTGCTTATCAGATAAGATAACTTTGGCGAGACACCAGCTGCACAAAATTGAAATTATCTCCAGCAGATTTATAACATTCACATCAAATTCGCATGACACAAAGCCGTAAGTATGTATGCTCCACGTAGAACGTCCTATAGGCCGACCGCCGACTGAAGAGACGTGAAATCCGGGGTACCGAGTCCAGTGACCTATGCGTAGAGATATCAATTCAGCGAACTCTACGTTTTTTGCGTATGTTCACTCACAGGATCCCACCCCGTCGTAGCGGAGAAGCCGTTTGTATTGCAGCCAGGGTTGTCTCCCGAGGTGATGTCGTTGAGAGCTGACAACCCAGTCGAATACAAGAACGGATTCAACCAGCCGAGCGTCGGCTTCCCCGCAGCGACCAGCTGGTCGTTCAGTAGGGCAATGACGCTAGCGAAGGTTGGCGTCGAGCAACTAGTACCGCTGAGAGTGTAAAAATTGCCATTGAGAGAAATAAAGAAATCCACTCCTTGCGCGGAGACGTCAGGGAAACCTCGGCCCGAGGCATTGTAGAGACCGGAGTTAGTGCTCCCGAGCTGCGACAAGTAAGAAGAAACCGCGGACGACTGGAAAGAAGGAGTGCCCCAATAATTGGAGAAGCCTCCCGACGAAAACGAAGCCGCAGTTTCGGGTGTGTAGCTTTGGGTAGCGCCTACTGAAGTCACACTGAGGTGCTGATGATTATGTGTTATGGCAGCATACGCAGAAAACTTACTAAGGGCAGCCTGAGGGAAACGAAGGGACGAAATCTGTACAGTTCTCGCTGACCGCGCCTGAGACTCCACCGTCTCCGGATGAAAACAAGACAGATACCCCGCGGGCGCCTAGCTGAGCGTAAGCATTGCATAAGTTGCTATTCAAATGATATCAGATGCTGAAGGGGGGCAGAAGAGGAGACGTACTTGGCTACATTGATAGATACATATTCTTCGTTTGAGCTATAGCTCGTCGTTATCACCGAAGGCAGGGTATCATTACCGAGGATGTAGTTTGCCGTATCCAAGAACCCGAAGACACCGTCCGAATCGTCCTCGCCGACTGAAAGAAACACAACAGGGACATTAGTGGCCACTCCAACAGTGTATTGGGTATCAAGATCCTGAGAGAGAATAGAACGTTAGGATAGGCTTTTAAAACCGTACTCGCTCAACTTACGGCTTCGTAGCCGGCATCGGCTGGAGTTTGATCGTTGATACCGCCGTCGAGCTCTTCTACTGTAAAAGTCGTGGAAGATGGGATGCATGGGCGCTCCCAGTATAGAAAAGTCTTTTTTGACAGGACATAAGCACAATCCAATTGAAAACTTAGAACATACCTCCAAGTCAGATTGGTTAGCATACTCGTCGTCATAACCAGTGACAGTTATATAATTCGACGACTGAGTGGCGGCGGTCCTCGGGATATTGTATATTGCCTCCAGACATCCGGGGTCAACGTAAGTATCTGGACAATCACCGGCCGGATCGCCAGCCGAAGTGAAGTTCTTGAATTCCTTCACACCGGTGTAAGGAACAGCTTGTATAGGTAACTTGGCACTCGGTGGTGTGAATCTAAGAGGGCTATCAGCGCATCCATATGATCAATAGGACAATTTCGACTGACGTGGTCGTCGGATGCACGAGGTCTAAGTGCCCTTTTAGATCAGAGGGAATGGAATAAGACAGAGTCCGGATACTCTGTGCACCACTCGGTAGATGTGTAAATACGGAGAATTGGGTGTCAAATAGCGCGTTGGCCTGTTCGACAGGCACTGAGATGGAAAGCCAGTCTCCAGCAGGTGAAATAGTCCTTGAGGTAATACCGTTCTCATTCAACCACTCGTTAACAGCAGTCACCGACTCTGGTTTTGGAGCGACAAATTTCTCGACCTGCAATCATTATCAGGAAGTGCTCGATTTTTCGAGGAAGTAGATAACGTACCTCGGTTTTTGAGAGAAATTCGCCATAATGCGGACTAGACGGGGTGCTGACATCGTACAATGTTTCAATCAAACCGGAGGGATCGTTCTGCACTAAAGCAAGACGCAGATCAAGTACGGTACTAGGAGATGCAGGGCCGTCCAGACTGAACCCAGAGGGTGCCGATGCCCTGACTTCATGTAGCTGGAGAGCTCGTGACGTCGGCTTGCTGGCGACAAGAGTGGCAAGGGAAACCAACAACAACCCAGTGCGAATCATCTGTCTGCGGATGCGATGAGGGGGGAATGATGTCGTGCTACTTCAGGGCAGCAGAGAAGGGGTTTTTATGTGGCTGGACCGCACACCATACGGATGAAACATGGCACAATGTCAACAACATTACGAACATAGAGCCCAAGCTCGGATTCATGTGAAAGTCTGGTCGAAATCGCTTACCCATACATCGCAGCTGTTCAAAAGTCGGGATGTAGTGATATCCGGACAGGGAATTGTCGGAACGATACCATATTCCAAATTTTTTGGATGTGCTTCTGCGTAAAGTCAACCCACCATCATTATGGAATATGTAGTATGAGTAGAGTAAGATGTGGAACGACGTCCAGACCGACCGTTCTGATGCTATGCATTCGCTTGGGCCATCGCATCCTATTGAACTGGCAATCCGATGGCCTCCTTGCGTAATCTTCGGTGTCCCATCTTACTAGTGCCAGGGTAAAAGTGCTCTTATGTGGAAGAGAGCCATGTGGAACCTTGCTTACAACGATACCAATTCCAACGATTGGAAGCGGTGCGTAGAAGAGCACGAGCCGTGCAGAATGAGCGATCCCCATTTGCGACACGTATACCCTGGGCCATGCAGCTAGAGCAACTCTTGATGAATAACATGCGTCTTGGCGGAGCTCATCTGATTTTGACCGCGGGTTTGCTCAATCGCAGGGTCAAACCGGCATCAGAGAACACACGGCATGCGTGCCGAAGCGCTCAATGGTTACTCAGGCCGAAGCTCCGTATTAACACTTGCCTGGTACTTAGCCGGCCAGTAAGTATGGATGCTCGGTACCGATACGGATGTAACAGGGGAGAGCAGGGAATGCAATTTCTCGGATGTTGTCGGGAGATCTGGGACTGCGTGCTGTGTCCCTTGCCGTTCCGATGAGCTACAGTCCGGTGGACAATCTAGCTTTCATAAAAGAGATCATCAGAGCATGGTAATCATTACGACTTGAGAAACGAAAATCGCATGCTCCTGCATGGTCTGGTCCCTAGATGTGAAAGACCGACACGTCTTAGCACGAGACAGGTTCCTCGACTGGCCGCGTAATTCTCTCAGTCCCGAGTCCGACAACCAGCCCAGAAATGGGCGGATATCTACTTTCGTTGGCCATAGAGAACAACTGAGATTGAACACTCACGCATTGCAGTGCCACTTCACCCAACCGGAACTCTCTACAGGCGATGTCTCATCAGAGCTCCTAGGTCTGTAGTTCCGGCAGTGGGAGCTAGTGACAAGAAAGCCTCTTATATCTGGCAAGTTGAACGTCGTATTGCCCGAAAGTTCAGGGTTTAATTACGAACAGTGAATCGTAGCACAAGAAGCATAAGCGTTCCGACTTCGTTGTCATTGCAATTGTGCGAGTGGGCGTTAAAGACGAAGTAGTACCGGCGCCAACTTGTAGGCAGCGAGCGCTTGAAACTGCCCTTACAGCACGTCTGGGTACGAGACCATCCAGTAGTATCATTTATGATGCCACCATGGGGGCAAGCTACAGACGAACCAACTAATCCTCACGACGCCATACTAACCACTAGCGGTACCAGAGGGGGCATTTCACAGCGCACACGATCTTTATTAAACTCGCGCAGTACAGTAAATGATTACCATGTTCAGATTCGTGCAAAATTGACTAAACTACAAACAAGAGAAGTCAAACCCCTAACGCGGATAAGAGAGCATCGAAGTTCGGAGTCCCAAGCCCAGTAACCTGCAGTCGATACATAAACGTAAGCAAACCGCGAACGATAATCACTAAGACTACTCACAGGGTCCCAGCCAGTTGTCGCAGGGAAGCCGTTGGTGCCACATCCCGGGTTGTCGCCTGTTGTGATGTCATTGAGTGCGGACGCCGCTGTCGAGTACAACAACGGATTGAGCCAACCAAGCGTGGACTTGCCCGCGGCGAGCAGGCGGTCATTGAGGAGGGCTACGACGGCCGCAAATGTCGGCGAAGAACAACTCGTGCCGTTTACGTTCCAAGACTCCGTATCAGCGATGAAGACGAAGTTGATCCCCTGTGCGGAGACGTCCGGAAACCCGCGACCGGACGCATTATACAAGCCGGCGTTTGTATCGCCAAGGTCGGAGAGATATCCAGAGACAGCAGAGGACTGGAAAGAGGGCACACCCCAGTAGTTGGAGAAACCACCAGACGAGAAATACGCGGCAGTTTCGGGATTGGCGCCTGTCGTCGCGCCGACGGATGTTACGCTGCATAAGATCGGTCGTTAGAACATAGCTGCAAAGCAAGATCTTGGGGAGACAAGGACTACTCACTAAGGGCAGGTGGCTGGGAATGATGGCTCGAAATATGTGCAGGAATCGTCGGTTTGCGTTCCTGTGACACCCCCGTCGCCGGATGAAAACAGCACAGTCGTCCCAAGAGCGCTGAGTTGCGCGTACGTGTTGCACAAATTGCTGGGTGGAAGGATTGTATCGATTGAGAGAAGTTTCATGGATAAAGTGTACTCACTAGGCTACAGCCAAACCTACATCATCTTCATCCGTACCATAGCTAGTGGTGATGACAGTGGGAGGCTCGTCCTGAGTCAGGAAGAAATTGGCGCTGTCCCAGAAGCCGAAAACACCGTCCGTTATATCACTGCCAACAGATAAGAACTCGATTGGGACGCCGGTAGCGATACCAGCTGTGTACTGCGTATCAAGGTTCTAAAACAGGCCGTGAGCAATCGCAACAGAGTGGCTTAGTCTAAGACAGAAATACAGCGTACAGCCTCGAAACCAGCCCAGCCCGGATCCTGGTCATTTATCCCACCATCGATGGTGTAAACAGGAAATGTGGAATTTTCCGAGACATCGGGACGGAATTCTTGCAAGAATTGCTACTCCCAGCGTCAGCGGCATGGTCGTCGTAAAGCGCGCAAGAACGTACAGCGAGATCTGCTTCGTTTGCCCACTCTTCCCCATACCCAGTGACACCAATCAGGTTGGATGACTGAGTTGCAGGAGTGGTGGGAATGCCGTAGAGAGTCTGTAAGCATGCCGGGTCAACTTGCTCCTCGCAAGCTGATGGTTCAGCGTCAGTAGACCGCCTTCGGACACCGGTAGACCCAATGCGTTGAGCGGTCACCGAGGACTTCGCGGGCGGCACAACAAAGCTGTTCCAAGCAACATGGTGAATGTGAGTGAAAATCAGACGCTGTGCGTGAATATTCCGTACGTCACAGTGGGGTGAACCAACTCTACATGTCCCTTCAAATACGAAGGTATCGAATACGAGAGTGTGCGAGTGATCTTTTTACCACTTGCGTTGTGCGTAAAGATGGAGAAGTTTGCGCCAAAAAGGTTATTCGCCTGGCCGACAAGCATGGAGAACGCGAGCCAATCCCCAGCCGAATTGATGGTTGTGGCATTGATATTGTTCTCAGTAAACCACGCATTCACGGTGTCAATAGTCTGCGAGGATGGCGCCACAAACTGCTCCACCTAATTTCGTGGTTGTGAGTCACGACAACACTGGGGAATGACAGGGCTCACTTCAGCCTTGGACAGGTGTTGACCGTAGTTGGGGCTGGAAGGCATGCTAATGTCCTCTAACGTGGCTAATAGCCCGTTCATGTCGTTTTGCACAAGAGCCATACGCAGGCTAAGTAGCTCCTCATCGGGTGCGGGCCCATCGAGACTGAAACCTTTGGGCACGCTTCCTCTTGATTCATGAACCTGAAGATTACGAGCCAGCGGCTTGCCTGTCGCTAGGAGCGAGAATAAAGAACACAGCAGGCCAACAGCAAGCATCTCTTCAGCTGAAGTGGCTTTAAGACGGAGGTGACAAAGCCAATGCCTTCAACGCTGCCTTTTATACGTTTCGTGCAAACCGATGCATAGAGAACAGCGTCTTACTCAGTGAAAAGCTGCAAGGGAACATACGGAACGACTGCCAGCGCGGTTGTGCAACTTGGCACCTTGAAACATGTGCATAAACATCTCGTAAGTGCATTCTGCCTATTGTTTACCCCATGTAGAATCCTTATGAGGTGATTTCGCTCACAGACATTCTGGACGGCACTGATGGTGAATACTTGGAACATATGCGTAAGCCGACCGGGAAACTTCCAATCCCTGAGAGACAGGATTGGGCACGAGTAAATGTTTGATCTCTGATGCGAGAAAGCCAGCAACTGCCAAGAAGATCGCGTCACCGGAGCCGGTAGTGTTCTGCATCGGATAATTAAGAGCACATTGCGCATGGGTATGGCTGCAATTGCATAAGCGGGAGCTATGCGGAAATCAGAAGATGCTTGCTTCAAACGGAATGAGACATACGGTTCGAGGAGCGCCACGGTTTGCACACACGAGGAACAAAATGAGCTATGCCGACCAGACCCGACTATGCGAAAGAGAATATGCGCCTCAGCGGTACACATATAGTTACTCTTGACGATTTGCCCCGACGCATTGCCCGCAGGCCTGCTACGCTCGGTAAAGCTGGAGCGGATAGAAAGACGACCCGGCCCTGCTTCTTCAGGGGCTTCTCTCTTTGCTTCCATAGTCAGCTGAGAAACGGAGCGCATCGGAGAACAGAACTCTAAGCAGAGAACTAAACAAGGTCATGTTGACGGTCGTCGGCAGATGGACGAAAGACTTGAAGCAAGAGAGGCTTGCAATTGGCCTCGAGCGCGACCTAGCGCGACAAGGAAGGGTAATAAACGTGACATAACGCATCTTTGCAACGTGTCACGCCCATGTCACACATGATCCGGTCACACTCCAACTTGCTGGATTTAATCAACGTCTGCTCGCACCGTCTCATGAATACGCATTCCTGAAGAATGCACTCAAACTGGATTTCATCAGGAGTGCGAATGCAAGAGAGCAGAGCGCCCCAAGGTTCGAGTTACGACGAGTATCGGAAGTGAGCGGGTAAGCACGTTCTTCTCCCAGTCTTGAAGCTGCAAGTGGCTTTGCTCGCCGTGTTCTCCACATAACCAAGCCACATCAACAAACTATCCCAGGTGTTCAATATCCTGCCCATTGTTCCTGTCTCGTGCAACTTGTTACGAGCTGGTTTGCCCATAGCCCTAGTGCCGTGTCACTCTACGTCTCTGTTGGCTTCCTCATGAGAATGTGCATCGGCTTGGACTCTTTCCATCTCACCTGAAGTTCCCTCAAAGAGCGAAACTTCACTGCCCCATAACGGCCACTCCGCGCAACCAATCAGTCATCTACTATAGCGCAGCGACATCCCAAACCTGATTATGTATGAGCGGGTGCCCGGGCAGCTTCGCGCTTCAAAATTCTGTTTTCACGACTACTGATCCGGCAATGCTGCGATGCTACTTTCGTGAGCCCCCGCTTATCGATACGAGTTGCACGCATGGTCACTCGGTGGGAGCCCTGGTATAGCCTTATCTGCCAGTCCTCTGTTCTACTGGTATGACTGCCAGGTTGTCTTGTCTGGCCTTTCTTTCTACAAGTTTGAGGGTGGCAACTTCTGACATACGAAGGGCATTCTGTCATTCGCCTTCTTTGATCCTGCCGAGCATGGATTTCGTGGCACGTCCTGGATGTCATGGGTGTGTAGCAATCTTCTTCATACCAAAGGGGATTTTAAATACTAAAATACATTGAGCTTTGGAGTAAAGGACGATGTAAATCATGCCGCCGTGATAATCCGTGAGTAACAAACATACAGTATGCATGAGTATTCAATCTACAGCACGCACACGTCAATAGAGCGACAAGCCTTCGACTAGCTTCATTCACCATACTACTAATGTTTCATCTACCATAAACGTCAGATTGTCGATGTCCGGTACGCATATACTCTGAGAGCAGTACCTCATTTGTTATCAACCTGGCATTCGTCGTGTCGGCGTACTGAGAACACTAAAAGCTTCCCATGGTCTATTTTGAAGCTCACCGTGAGGCTAGGCTTGGCACGCACATATAAATCACTAAGTTGCGGTGGTCCGGGTGTCAGTGGAACGGGCTCTGCCTCTGAGTGACCAAGTCTTATCGACATGTTCCTCAAGGGCTTTGTTCTTCTGTCCTTATCGATATGCATTTGGGGCACGCCTCTCTCGCGCAGCCTAGAGGTGCATGAGTCTCGCGACACTATCCCAGAAGGCTTCACTCTCACGGGACCTGCCTCTCCTGACACTGTGCTGGACCTTCAGTTAGCTCTCGTGAGCAGCGATCCCGACGGGCTCATCGAGAAGCTGTACGATGTGATCACCCTATCTAGCGCGAATTATGGCCAGTACCTTTCGACAGATGAGGTGCGTAGTAACTTGGTAATGTAGGAATGTCGATTGCAGTGCTGAACCAAGCACATAGTCAAACTATTTCTTGGCCCCAACCCAAGAGTCAATGACGGCCGTCAACGAGTGGCTCGCAGAGAATGGCATCACTTCGACTACAATCGGTTCTGTGGGCAATTGGCTGTCGATCTCCATCCCTGTCAGCCAGGCGAACGCGATATTCGATGCAGACTTTTCCGTCTTCACATATGAGAGCAGCGGCGCGGAGAGCATTCGAACCCTCTCGTATTCTATACCGTCGAGTTTAAAGGACCACCTGGACCTGGTTCATCCCACCGTCACGTACGCTAAACTGGCGTGACATCAGGCTTCCCTCGGTGCTGATCCAGTTTATGCAGGTTTGTCCCTCCGAGGACTCAACTCCCCTTCAACACTGTCAAACTTGCCACAGTGCCGAGTCCCGCGGCCACGCCTTCAGCGTGCGATAACGGCTATGTTGACCCAGCTTGTTTGCAGTCTCTCTACTCGATTCCGACAACACCCGCGACAGAGACGTCGAACTATCTTGTTGTCGCTGGGTACGATGACCAGTACCCGAGTGCCTCTGACTTGGAGGTGGGGTGCCTGATTTCCGAGACGAGCATTCCATTGATGCAGTCCGCGTAGCTATTCCTGCAATACTTCAGGATGGACATTTCGGACACTACCACCTACAAAGTGATCGAGATTAGTGGTGGAGAATACAATCCAAACGACCCTGGCGTTGAGGCGGTGTGTCTTCGGAATCACAGCACTTTGATATCATCTACTTACGTTGTCGTAGGATTTAGACACACAGTACACAATAGGGCTTGCCACGGATGTCCCGGTCACATTTGCTTCCGTGGGCGAGAGCGCCGACGACGGCACGGGCGGGTTTTTGCTCACAGCCCAGTACTTCATCAACTCGGATACTTACCCGTCCGTGATGACCACCAGTTACGGTACCAACGAGAACGAGATTTCTTCCAAAGTAGCAAAGTGAGTAGTCTGTCCCAGGCTGAGTATTCTGCTGATGATCTGAATATATAGCAACCTCTGCAATACATATGCTGCGCTCGGAACGCGGGGGATTTCCGTTTTGTTTGCATCCGGGGATGGTGGGGTGTCAGGTTCCCAGTCTGCGTCCTGCACGGATTTCGTTGTTACGTTCCCCTCCGGATGTCCCTAGTGCGTGGACTTTCCACTAGCTGGCTTGATTCGCAGCTGACTGCAAAATGTCGTAGTCTCACCTCTGTCGGTGCGACTGAAGATTTTAGCCCGGGGACTGCAGCATCTTTCTCTGCGGGCGGGTTTTCCAACTACTTCAGTCGTCCTTCGTATCAGAACTCTGCGGTCGAGACCTACCTGGAATACCTCGGCAATACCTATTCGGGGTTATACAACGCCTCTGGTCGTGGATACCCAGACGTCTCTGCACAGGGCGTCGATTTCGTTAATTTGTGTCTATCTACCATACTGGAATGTAGAGTTGAGATGTTTCAGCCGCTATTCGTGTAAAGTCTGTGGCAGCCACCACGTGATAGGCACGTGGGGACGGCTGCGCGTTTCAGTGGTGTTTGCCGCTGTGGGCGCGGCCCACGTCCCGAGTCCTTATTTGAACCGTCCTGGCTCCGCGCTGCCTGACCGAGCTCGAGCTGGCCAGCAGTGCAGGCCATTCACGGTAAGCAAGCAATGACCAACATCCTCTCTCGCAAGCCCCACCCCCACCAGCGCACCGTCCTCTCTTCCCTTTCCTCCAATACCCCCCGCCCATGTTCCCCACTCCGCCAGAACGCACGGTTCACGGCAAAGAAAGCATCCGCCACCGTCTCCCTCACCAATACGCATGTCTCTCGCGTGAACACCGCTTGTATTCTCCCCTCTCCATCTGGACTTTCGGAGCCTCCCCAACAGAGCTTCATCCCGTTTCCCTCCCCCCCCATCCCGTGCCCTTCCCACCGAGAGGAGGTGGACGAGCTCTCCACGCCGCGCGATGATCAGCAGGTCTCACCTATGGACTGGGAGGCGAACAAAGAGCAGCTGGCACCGCAGACGGCGAACTGGTCCAGTGTCCGGAGACGCACTCCAAGGACCTGTCTCACCGCGCCTCACTGCCACCGCGAGCCCCCTGCGGGATCGACCCAGGCGAATATCCGGCGCGTCTTCAAAGGTGCCCAGCACCGCGCTATGCCCGCGCCCTCGCCTGACAAGGGCACTGTGCCTCTGGAGAGCACCGGGCGCAAGCTCAGCATGAGCTGTGGCTCGCCATACATTCCTCGGAAGCGCGCACGCAAGGCGAAGAAGGTCACGCCAGACATGCAGTTCCTCGCACTCGTCCATCGCAGCATCGCCTGGCACGCTCGGGGTACGCTTGGAGGTGTGCCGGACGACTGCGCGGCACAGGATGTTCTGTTCGCGAAGCGGCTCTGGACGAATCTTGTCGAGCTGGGAGGCAAGCCGGTGCGATTCGAGGATGATGTTGGTCCTCGCAGCTACTTCACCGAATCTCAGGAGAGGACGTGCTTAGAGGCTGACCCAGGTCCCCGCTCACCCACAGACGACACTCGGGTACCCTCTGCTGAGATTCTGGCGATGCCACAGCTCGTTGCGTCCCTCACTCTGCGCTTCCGAGACCGGTCTACGTCGCGCTCACGCTCGCCTCCAACCGCTGACATGCGTGTTCAGACGACTGTACCCCGCGCTTCTTCCCCTCTGGCGAACGTTCTGTTCTCAAGCTCCGATGCGGACCCGTCCGATTACGGACTCTGAAAGACGGCATCATCAGGATGGTGCCCCGATTGACGACAAAACTTATGCCGTACGAACGCATGCAGCGCGTGCACATATGCCTTCATGCCTACGAACACCGGGTGGCCGTGCCATCCACGGACCTTGGACACACATTCCTTATGTCTCGCCATTTCCTCTATATCTCCGAACATATCATCGCCATCATCGTCACCAACATCCACATTAATCCAAACATCATCATCAACCTGCATGTAACCGCGACCACCCCATCATACCACCCGCATAAAACCCCCTGTAGCATTACTATCTCCCGCTGCGGTCATCCTCTGCACGAGGCGCCGCTACGCCGTCTGCTGTATACATGTATCTCCGCCTTTCCTCCCATCGTTCCCTCGTGTGTGATGAGACTGAGCGCGCGTTCGCGTGAAGGGCCGCATCCTGACATGTCTTCTCGTCATGGTGCGAAAGCCGGAGGTCGCACGGCGCACGAGGTCGCGTTGACGCGCGCGTAACACTCACATGATCGTGACACGACGCGTTTGGCGCTGAAGCTTGAAGCGCTGAGATCTGATCAGTACGAGCGGCCTGTGCCCAGTATGGCCAAAAGCCCGCCTGGAAATCATGTTTACCTTGCTGAGGCCGACTCAAGCGGACAGATTCAGGTCATGTCAAGTCGGTGAATAAGCGAGTAAATTCTAACCCATCTTGTTCGATTGTCTTGTGGCGGCCTTCTGAGGCACGGCCAGCTAGAGGTACAAAACTCCTGTTTTAATGCTAGATCATACATGCCCCACGATCGCCTGCGGCTTGTACGGCTCCTCCAGGTACTTGATTTCTTCCGTTGTCAGTTGTACGTCTACTCCCTCTGTTGATTCTTCGTGAACATCTCCGATCAAAGACAGCGGGAGGAAAGCTTACTTATGATGTCTTTCAAGTTGTCCAAACTCGTCGTGCCGACAATAGGCGCGGTGACCCCTGGCTTCGTCAGAGTCCACGCAATGGCGACCTGCGCCATGCTGACGCCCTTCTTCTTTGCGATCTCCTCCACGCTGCGCCCACGATCAGTCTTGCACCGCGCTCTGTCGAGCCACCAGAAACCTCACCGTGCGACGATGTCAGCCGTTCCGGCGCCCTTGTAGTTCTTGAGGAACCTGGTCCCGAGTGGGTGAGTGGGAAGACGGCGTTTCGAGATGGGACGTACCAGTCCGTACTTCCTCGCGTGGATTGCTCGCTCAGAGGCCGGGTCAGCAGTCCCCGTCCGAGAGGGGACCATGGAATGGAGCCAACATTAAATAGCTATTGCCCCCGAAGGTCAGTGCCACGGCTAGCGAATGGCCCAATCGATTACCTTCAAAGTCGGGAACATCTCGCGCTCCTCCTCGCGGTAGATCAAACTGTAGTGGTTTTGCATCGAGATGAACGGCGTGAGGTTGTTCTTGATGGCGTAGTCTGCTTATTGTGGATCCAGGGTAACATCTCACGGCAGTCGCTCTGAGACTCACTCTGCATCGCATGGACTGTAGTAATGCAGGCCCCGTCAGCTTCACAGCAGGCGAGAATAAGTCATGAGGCTTACACTGGTAGGCATAGCAGGAGCTCATGCCGATATAGCGGACGTATCCTGCCTTGACAACGTCGTGCAGCGCTTGCATCTACATATCAACGTTGGAAATGTGAGCAGATTGTCATACAGCCGGATCGTAGTAGCTATATGCACAGTTTCCTCGATAGGCGTGTTATAATCGAACCTATGGCCTGCATACACGAACTTAGCAGACCGTATACATCAGCGAGAACCCTTCTCGCTCACACTGCAACAAATCCACATAGTCTAGCTGTAGCCGCTTCAAGCTGGCTTTGACGGAGTCGAAGATGTGCTGGATGCCCGCATTTAGCGCATTTTGCGGAAACGAGCCGGCCCGATTACCTTGCGGCTGAGCCCGTACTGGTTCACCAGGCCAATCTCGTCAGGCTCCTTGCCCAGCACTTTGATGTTCATGCCATGCTCCGGCGCAACTGCATTAAAGACCTGAGATAGAGGTGTGCATCAGGATACGCATCTTCGCTGGGGTTACGACTCGTAGTGCCTTGGTCATGACAACAATCTCCTCGCGAGGGAGATTGAGCTTCTTGATCGCGTTGCCGAGGATGACTTCGCTGAGACCATTCGAATAGACCTATCGCATACAGTGAGCGCTCGATGCGTTCGCGACCGCAGGCCAATCCACACTGACATTCGCCGTGTCGAAGGTCTGTATGCCGGCCTCGTATCTGCGGCGAGCGGACGAGTGAGTCCCAAGGCATGGTCTCCATCCGGCTTTAGAAAACACATCACCCACGCGTATTTGATGTGCTCAATCGCCGGCTCCTCGCCGATCACCCATTGCTGCCACTGGGGGCTGCCGTACTGCATGGTGCCCAGGATGATCTTCGACACTTTCAAGCCGGAGTTGCCCAGCCGGACTGTCCAAGAGACATTGGGGTCAGCACACGCCCATGCCCTACACAGAAACGGTATCCGGCGCCCACCATAAGGCATGCGTTTCTGGGGAGTGGACATTGTATTTGCGGGCGGGCTGCAGCAGGAGCGGGGACGAATAGTAAGGAGTCAAGACACAAAGTTTGAGAGGAAGACGCGGGACGATGGCGTGCTGATATCTGCGCCGACGGAAGGCCATGTCTCTCTGTTCCGATTGCGAGATGACAAAACATCGCTGGCTGATACCTGTAGCGATACGCCTCAGTGGAGAGCAGCAGGCCGTGAGTGCCATAAAGCTCCATCGCTTCGGCAGAGTCACCCGGCCGATCAAACCTGCGTAATTTAACTCTTATACACAGATCCTATCATATATCGCTCTAAATAAACGGTACTACAGGCCATGTTTTTGCCTTCACTCTCGATGTTCATGCTGAATGCATTAGGATTCTTCGCTTTTGGTGTCATCGTCTCAAGCCTGTGCATAGGTAGTTCTCAAGTGCACATGAGTGGCCCAAGTCTGAGGCCCGGGTGACATTGCCTCTGAAATACAGGAATTTTGCTCTATGAGAGCACAATCTGTAGGGATGCTGCAATGCCGATCATCCCGGTTGCAGGTCACGGTGATGGATGTGTCTGGGGTCAGTCAGTGTCTTGAAGAATTATATCGAGACTTATTGGTATTGTAAACTAATCTCAATTTGTTCGTGCCAACTGCATTGAGTAAGCCTTTCCTTCCTCGAAAATTGAGTGTTTCCTCGCTGGCGAAATAGTCATTTCTGTGCCGTATGACTAGTCTCAGGCTCGTGCTAACTTGCTTGGACCGATTGAATGGGCACGTGTGTGCAGGCAATTCGTTCCGCAGCTCGCGCAATTGTAGGTCCATATGGATCCCCCAGGTTCCTTCGCAATTGACTCCCAACATGAGCCCTCGCTATCTCACCGACTGACCCAGACCGCGCAAGATACTGCAGGAAAATCAGTTACATTCTTGTTCTACTTCTCTTCGCCGGTTCAGTGTATGCAAGTTATTAATACTACAAAAGCGGGAACAGCACAGAAAATGAAGGTGTACGCCACGGCACAGCAGCTACACAGGTACTACTACATTAGGTATGGGTGTAGCACATCACACACGGGAACACGAAAAGCACAATACGGCAACAACAAACAGAACAACACAGATATACCTCTACAAACGCGTCCGTGCTGGAAAGGGAAACAGCCCATTAAGACGATAGCGCTGTGCTTCTCACAGCTTCTTTCCCCCCGGGGGCTTGCCGTTCGCTGGGAGCGCATGCAGCGTGGGCACGCCCGCGCTCGCCATCTTCGAGTGCGCGTTCTCCTTCGCATCGACCGTCGACGGGACAGGCGTCGAAAGCTTCGGCACGGGCACCACGCGGTCGAGGTCGCTGCCCAGCGTGAGGCTCCGTGGACTCTGCGCCTCGTCCACATACACGGGCTTCATCGCATCCTCGTCCTCGCCCTGCACCGAGTGCTCCTGAACCGTAGAGGTGCCTGCTATCGTCGCCTGTTGGCGGCGTCGCTCTTCCTCCGAACGCCGGAGCACATCGACCTCGCCCTGCACGACGACGCCGTCTATCCATCTATGATGGATGAGCTCGCTCGCAGGAGCGCGCTTGTCGGGGTGAAGTCGGAGCATGGGAATGAGGAACGATGCGACCATATCTGCTTCCTCTTTCGGGAGCAGATACTTATCGTGAAGCACCGCATCTAAGGGCCAAAATCGGAGTTTCTGAATGTGTCGCAGCTCTCCTGAATAGGTTTTGCGTGTCTTTATTAAGTAAAATAGAGACATAAGATGGGTACACTTACCTTTGCGATTGAAGAAATCTGAGCTATATCTGCCAGAGAACGCGATGCTCTTCGGGAACTCGCCCATCAGCTCCATGATTTGCGCTATATGATCATCGTCCTTGCTGTACCGCGAACCCGATGCAGGATCAAAAAGATAATCCCCGCCAGTTAGCATCTCGAAGATCTGTATTGCTTCTATCAAAATCCCAATGCATACGTTCCCAGACAAGCGCGCACTCACCACACAGGCAACACTCCAAATGTCCGCACTCGTGCCCCACTTCGCGCCCAGGAGTACTTCTGGACAGCGGTACTGCCGCGTTTGGATATCGTCCGTGAAATGATGTTCAACCCACGTCGCTAGGCGCAGCAAACATGTATCTCAGCTCTAGCGACCGAAACAGCCGCAGCCAATATTACTCACCGTTACCCAAATCCGCGATCTTCACAGTGATCTTTTCCATCGCCTCAACGGGCACCATGTCGACAGACGCCGCACTCGATCCCATGGGCGGTACTGCCGAGTGCTCCTGAAAGCTGCTCGGCTCGGACGTGTACGGCGGTGGTGATGGCTGTGTACCTGAGGGTCCCGCAGACGGACCGGCGTGCGAGAGGACCTGCTGGGAGAGGAGCGACGGGCCCGCGGAGGCTTTGCCCTTCTCGGGCCGCGTCCTCTCGCCAAACGGCGACGTGTCGAGCGTGACGCCGGACATGCGCTCGGCTGTCTGTTCTGTCGAGTCCGCGCGGCGCTCCTTCGCTGCGTCGGCACTGCCCACCGACGCGGGCCCGCTCGGGGCGCCCTCACCGTCGATCCTACTCATTCCAAACGCCCAGCGATCGAGGTGAGAGCTTGATCCGAACGACGAAGACGGGGATGGGAGCGGCTGCGAGCCAGTGATGAAGACGGATTCCGAGCGTGGGGTCTGGTTCCCGCCTCGCCCGCGAGACGGGGGCACGCCGACGAGGCGTGTTGGGGGAGGCGTCGCGGATGCATTTTGGGCTGCGAGCTCCGCTTCAATAATGGATTCGACGTCGTCAATGCAGATCAGGACGTTCTCGGGCTTCAAGTCTAGGTGGGCGGGATTAGCGCATGCATGTAGAGTGGATACCATAAAACAAGATCCGAGCGTTTGTCCGGCGCCACGCGGGGCCACAGTGCCTCCAACGTTGCAGTTGTGTACGCTAAGACATGTCGAGCATAGCGTACCAACGCTCAGCAGCTGTCTGCATTCCTGCGCGGGTTGCGGGGATGGAGTGGGGCGGAGCATATCGATGCGCTACAGTCTCCGGGCGGAGCTCCGGAACTATGCGAACGGTCAACACAATCGTGCCCGCTCTTTCACTCTGTGTAACATCGCCTGGACGACCTGTGCGAATGCACTTCTACACCATGTAGGCAGCAGAATGGGGCATATCGATGATACAGTCTCCGGGCGGAGTTCCGGGACTACGCGAACAGACAAGCCAAGCGTGTCCGCTCCATTCACTTCGCAGAGAATCTTGAACACGACCGCGAGGACGATCGTGAAAACTCACCAGTGTGAATGACGCCGCAGCAGCGATGCATGTAGTCAAGGCCGAGCAGAATCTGTTTGGCAATCTGCTTGGTCATATGGATGGGCACACCTTTCCCTTGATATCGCTTGATCAGGCCGAGTAAATTCTCCCCCAACACCTCAAAAACCATGCAGACGTGAGTGCCATTGGGACCCTTGTGACGAAAATGATCGAGGAAGGATATGACATGAGAACGGCCAGGATGAGTCTGAGATGGTGAGGCCTGTGGGTGTGGGTGTTCTGGCGTAGGCTGGACAGGTGGGGTGGAGGAGGTGATGAGCCGTTGGAGTAGTTTGATCTCATCGAGGGCCGTCTCCGTATAGCGGGGGGCAGATTTAACGACTTTGAGGGCGACATGTCGGTTCATTCTGACGACGATGAGGTCGGAGCGCACATGGATGAAATCGGAAAGACATACTTTGTATCCTTTGCGAGCCATACAGTGGAGAAATGACCCCAGCCCAGTTTGCGGACGACGACATAGCGGTCGTCGGAAAAAGCGTCACCGATGTGGACGGGATGGTACCCGCCTTTGACGTAGTCCTCCCAGTCCTCTTCGTCCTCGGTCATGACGGATTGAGAGAGAGAAGAATCGTATGAACCGGCGTGTGACATGCTGGGCAGACTGGGAGTGATGAGAGATAAGCAGGCAAAGGGGCGTTACGGCAAGATAAGCGTCCACCTGCCTCTTTCGTGTGCGTGCCCGTGTTTTGCGCTGGAGACCGCCTGTGCCGCAGGTGTGGTTCGCGGCAAGACGAGCGCGAGGCGAAACACTGCAGACGAGAGCGCGATCGTCCTCGAGACCGAGAGACTGAGGAACAGGAGCCTTGCCACGAATGGAAACCCACCCATCGATCACGTAAGCCACCCCCAGGCGTCGATGCAGTACAAGCGCCGGGGCAGGGTGCGACTTCATTTCTCTTGCTTGGATATCTTCTATGTTCTGTCAGCGTCGACCCATCTGCACAAGAACGAGACTGTCGTTCTAAATAACGTGAGTACACAATAATTGTAAGAGGCCATTGTTTGGTTGTGCAGTAAATGAAGAACTCAAAGGTGTGTAATTTCACAATGTCATATAACGCACCTTCTATTACATACATACATCGATCCGATACATTTCTTGTCTTCAGGTCTGAGATAGACTGACATTAAATCAGTTCAAGTCTGCGATACTCAAGGTCTGGTTTGCAGTCGCGGTGAATGATAATCTTCTTTCTCGACGTGTCCGCGAATGCTCCAAAGCAGCCTCTGCACTCATCCCCACGAGTGTCGGTGTACAAGGATCGGCCACCATCAAGCTTCAGTATGAGCATTTTCGCAACATCGTGCCCTACGCTTTACAGCCCCGTCTACAATCTACACATGTGGCCAACGATGGCTTCTTCGCCACCCCGACACGCGTCCTGGGCGTAGACTATGTCCTCGACGTAATACTGCCACTGCCTGCACTCAAATTGTGAGTACCGTGAGAATGGACAGATTTCCAGATCCACATCGCTGAGTAAAGTCCCAGATGTACCTCGAGGACGGTGATTTGAGACTTTGTTGATTGTTTGGGCGGTTGGAAATCTAGACTTTATACAGTCTGCGTATGTCTGATAAAACGGCGATATGACAAGCAGAGTTGAGTTAGACAAAAGTAAAAGTGGCGACCGCATAAAAGAAAGAAATCTGTTACTACGCAACTCCGAAAAGTCTCCAGTATATGCGGTCATGTGACCGCGATAGTTCCCCAGCTGCCATGTCAGTGGTGTCTTGTCTTCTTCTGCTTCCACCTCACCACCTTATGCCGCTTCCCCAGCCACGTTCATTTATGATTACATCCGAAGGAAAAGCCATCGGCGTTAGATAGGTAAACACCTCGAGGTCTCATAAGCTGTACGCACTCAACAAACACTACCTGGAAACAATTCTCCCCTCTTGGCCGCAACATTAATGCTGAGACTAAGGAATGATACAGCATCCGTTCATCCATACGTATCCATACTACCTGTATGTATTGTTCAAGACATACGAGTTCAGTAAGACTGACTGGCTATATCATGGTGACGTAGTCGTCTTTGAGCCTCAGCCCTAAATATCGCGCCAAGGAATAATGCTTGACGCTTGAAGATGGACCGTGAGATTAATCAGGCACAGGAATACGGATTCCGGAACTCTCAGGACCGAGTTTACTGCTGGCGGCTTACGCCTCGTGGAGGGGACCACATACTGCGCGTCAGCTTCGTGTGCCGGAGGCCTTGCCTACTGCGCGTTTGTCGAGTCTCATCAGTACTCCATTCCCCACAAATCAGCCATGAGTCTCTCTCAGCATCGGGAAGACGTGGCATCGCAAGAAGTATGTTTTCCGAAGGCACTTACTTTCATCGATAACGTTGGTGAGCGATGGTCCGTGTATAACCAGCTGCCCCGCCTGATTGGGGTGATCACTGACAGAGGATGTCGCACAACAATATTTGATCCCCGAGTCCAACAAGCCCTCCAGTTTGAATCAAACGAACGCCACACATGGATTTCTCCGACAGCTTCCGGTGGAAATATGGGAGAGGGTGCTGGACTTTTTGGCGTACGACCTTTGGGACGATTGCAATATGCAAGAACTATGGAAATACGGACGTGTGTGTCTCGCATGGTACCTCCGGTGTCGATTTCACGCATTGCAAGACATTGAGCTATACAGTAGGAGCCATGTCCACCGGCTGATGAAGATCATAACGAAGGACCGGCGTCTTATAGATGGGGTACTGGACGTTGACATATGCAACGGTATCGATTCTCTCGGAGTGTACGCGGCGTGCATGGTGCGCAGGCAGCGGAAAGTCCAGACTCTGATGATTTTTGACTGTGAATGGATTACTGGGAAGCTGCATCCTCACGTCTTCCTCCACATCGGTACCGCATTCTCCTCGCTCACTACCCTCATTCTCGAGTGGGTCACGTTTCCGTCCGCGCCCGTCTTTGGCAGACTCATCTTTGCACTTCCCTCTCTTGACCAACTCCGGTGCTTCTATCTGAAACTCCGTACACCTCGGTTCGTCCAGGGCGTTGTCCGTATTCCGAAAAAGCTGGTGCTCAGGCGGCTGTCGCTGTCCGTTAGCAATGACGTCATCAACTTTTGCACCTCTTCATTCGCAGGTAGTCTCCGGCATCTTGATGTCGATTTCAAGAGCCAGACAGACTCGAGCGACTATCAGCGGCTCATTAATACAGGCGGCGGGTCTCTGACTGACATCTGGATCTTCCTCAATGGGGAGTCCAGGACATGGGACGGTATGAAGTTACAAATGTAGATGAATTTATTTTGACGTCGTCTTGTCTCGTAGATTTTCAGTTGGACCTCGTTCCTGCCACTGAGCTGCGTTCTCTATGCTTCTTTGATCAGACAGGTGAACCGATAGCGCGCTGGTTCAGCTGGCTGGTTCCCTTCTTTGCCACCATATCATCTTCCAAGCTCAATGAAGTAATCATTCGTTCTCACCTTACGAGCAAGGATTTTGATGCATTTGAGGAACGGTTTTGTACCTTCAGTGAGGCAGATTGCCTGAGCTTAGAGGAAATATTTGGTCGCGAACAGTACAAAAGTCTCACCATGGTCCGATTTCACCTTCTGGTACATACTTCGGATGTAGATACCGGGAAAGACGCAAACTTTACGAAGATTCCACCGGGAGATGTATGGCGGGATTATATCTTCTCCAATTTTCCAAGTATGCGAGAGCGCAGAGTTCTTCAGTACGTGAATTCATTCAGAACTTGCCTCAAACGCAGGCCAATGATCACTACCACTGCAGGGCTAAAGTTGACATTTCAAGATTTGCGTTGGTCAGTTTGAATTCTCATCGCGGCGATATGTCATAAACGTTGTTGAAATCGGGCCAAAAGTCCATGTATGTGCATCCGTCTGTATGCGTTGCTAGAGTTCTTTCAGGATGCGTGAGAAGTGGAAGCATCGATACATAGCCACTTGGTATACTGGACAATCAACTTCAAACTTGTTACATGAAGCGAAGCTGCCAGGCCAATAGACGTTCTTCCCCTTCTGTGGCGGCATGAGAGAGCTATAGAAGAACTGTAGTGGTCTGACACATCTGGGCCCTGGGGACGAGATCAAGCTGTAGTCTCTGAGAGTGATATTATTAAGAAGAGTCTACTAGGGTATCATTGAATCGGTCAACAAAGTCTCTCGTTCCTGAGAGCATGGACACACGAGCAGCTGACATGGATCAACAACTTCACCAAAAGAAGTTTTGCGGACAATCATATCTAGAGCAGACGCGAAACACATCTTCTACAGAATCAGATCGGTCACTGGGGTGGAGGTCATTTGACCATTGGAAAAACAGGGTGTACTTTTGAATTTGGGGTGCGTGGTAGACAGTCAAGTGGAGATACTGACGCAGAGTTGTAGCAGGAACTCTTTTATTCGAATCTCTTTCTCCACAGGAATCAGGCGGCCAACGCAAAAGCGACAAGACGATAAGCATGTACAGGCCATGCTTGTAGCATGACTCATGGACCGTAAGCCATGTTGCCAGACGAAACGCTATATATATAGTTAGCACTGCGCTTGTTTAGGATTGTGTTAGGACGCAAAAAATAGGTAACCCACGTGGAAATATGCCGGGCCCCTTTCCCCGCAACGGAGAAATCTCGGAATCGACTTGCGCATCTGCTGAGTGCTCTCCGCGCTCAGCGTATAAGTAAGAGATGCAGCTCTCAATTCTCTCTCTCACAACGCCCACTTCACCTAGATCTGAGGGCTCCTCTCGCCACCTCTTGGATATTTTACGACCATTTTACCCGAAATTTTGAGATGGCGCCGTCCGATTTCGCGAAAGTAGACTTGGCCGAGGTCGTCGAGCAGCTCACGACAGATGAAGCGATTCTTCTAACTGCCGGAGTCGGCTTTTGGCACACACATGCTGTTCCCCGTCTCGGTATACCTGCTTTGAAGACCAGCGATGGACCCAACGGTCAGGAAACGATGTGGATTTCCATTGATGCTCGCTGATGTACACCCGTCTGACAGGTATTCGCGGGAATCATTTTTTTATGGGCACTCCCGCGAAATGTCTGCCTTCTGCAACCGCACTTGGTGCAACGTTCGATCCAGAGCTCATCCATCTTGTCGGCCGCAAGCTGCTTGCGGAAGAAGCGAAGCTCAAAGCTGCCTCCGTATGGCTTGGTCCTACGTGCAACACTCAGCGCAACCCACTCGGAGGGCGGTCCTTCGAGTCCTTCTCTGAAGATCCTCATCTTTCTGGCATGATTGCTGCGTCCTATATCGCTGGTGTCCAGGAGGGCGGCATCGCCGCGTGTATCAAGCACTTTGTTGGGAACGACAAGGAGAACGATCGAATGGCATACGATTCTATCATGTCCGAGCGCGCCTTGCGAGAGATTTATCTCATGCCGTTCATGCTTGCGCAGAAGTATGCTCAGCCGTGGTGCTACATGACTGCATACAACCGCGTGAACGGCACGCATGTATCGGAGAACCCGAAAATCATTCAAGACATTCTGAGGAAAGAGTGGGGCAGTGACGCACTGGTCATGAGTGATTGGTACGTTCCTCTGATCGATTTTCGAGCTAGTGGATCTGTTTTGATCCAAGAACCAACATAGGTTTGGTGTGTACTCCATTGATCACGCCATAAACGCAGGACTTGATCTCGAAATGCCGGGCACGAACAAGTGGAGAACGCTCGACCTGATGAACCGATCGTATGTTCTCGTATGCTTATGCAGGATCAATGGTCCTGATCAAATTCTGTGTTCAGCATCCAAAGCAGGAAGATCATGAAGCGCACTGTCAAGGAGCGCGCTGCAAAGGTGTTGGAGCTCGTCAAGAGGTGTGCGACACAGACGCCCGAGGTATCTTGTATAGAACAATTTGCCTGCTGACATTGTGCTAATATCACCATCCAGATTCTCGACGGCGATGGCATTGAGCACACGCGCGACACACCCGAGGAGAAGGCGCTCATGCGCCAGCTCGCCGCCGCGTCCATAGTATTACTGAAAAACGAGGGCGGTATCCTGCCTATCAAGCCCAAGGTGCGCCTGTCGCACGATCTCTCATCTGCGGGCAAACTTAGGTGATTTGTGCCTAACCCTATTAGGAACAGGGCATCAAGAAGATCGCCATCGTGGGTGGGAACGCGAAGGCGATCGTGCTGAGCGGCGGAGGCTCCGCGGCGCTGAAACCGAGCTTCTTCACGAATCCGTACGAGGGGATCGTCCAAGCGCTTGGAGAGGTTGACAAGGACGTGCAGATCACATACTCGGAGGGCGCGCGGGGTACGTAGATTTGTCGGCGGATAATATCGGGTGGCTGAAAACTCTGCGCAACAGCGTACATGCTCACGCCATCGTTGGATTATGACATGTTCACCGAGACGGGTGAGCGGGGATGGGTTGGCTCGTGGTATGCGCACGAGAGCGACGATAGCATGACGCCGTTGAAAGAGCCTCTGAAGACGCAGTACATCGACGAGACTCGCATGTTCTTCAGGTGAGAGAGCTTATCTCGAGACGCGTGGGTAGAAGAATTAGTTGGCTCAAACATCTGCAGCACGTCATACCCTGCAGAGCTCACAAAGAAGTGGACGCTAAAGATGAACGGGAAGATCAAACCGAGAGAGCGCGACTGCGATTTCGAGTTTGGACTGGTCTCTGCTGGAAGGGCGAAGGTGCAACAGGTTTCTGAAGAGAGTGATCAGTACTGATGTGCTGTTTATAGCTCTACGTCGATGGACAGCTCGTCGTCGACAACTGGACGCGCCAGAGGCGTGGTGACTCGTTTTTCGGGTCCGGTTCCGCTGAAGACAAGGGTGTATTTCGGCTCAAGGCTGGTGTGTCGCACCACATCCTGGTCGAGTACTGCAATGTGCGCGCACCGGCGCCGGAGGACCCTGACGAGGCGATCATGGATTCGAACCCTGGTGTGCGCCTCGGAGGAGCAGAGGTGCGCGACTCTGACGAGCTGATGGAGAGCGCGGTGCAGCTCGCGCGAGAGGCGGACGTCGTGATCGCGGTTGTCGGGCTGAATGCGGACTGGGAGACGGAAGGGTATGACCGCACGACGCTGGCACTGCCGCAGCGCACGGACGAGCTCGTCGAGCGCGTCGTACAGGCGAACCCACGCACCGTTGTTGTCACCCAGTCTGGTTCGAGTATCACGATGCCGTGGACATCGAAAGTCCCTGCGATCGTACACGCGTGGTACCTGGGCAATTCAACAGGCGAGGCAATTGGTGAAGTGCTGACCGGGAAGGTCAACCCCAGTGGTCGATTGAGCTTGACGTTCGCGAAACGCCTAGAAGACTTCCCAAGCCATGGCCACTTCCACTCTGAGAACGGAAAGGTATGTATACAGGGCTCCCTAATGATTCCCCGCTAAGCGCGTATACGTAGGTCCGCTACGGTGAGGATCTGTTCGTCGTACGTCCCACTATATCTAGACCATATCACGGTTAACTTATACATGCTCATTTGTAGGGATATAAGCATTTCCACCACAGAGGAATTGCGCCCGAGTTCCACTTCGGGTATGTATACAGTCACTTTTCAACCGTACGGACAAGTATCACTGATAACCGGACGACAGCTACGGCCTGTCTTATACTACGTTCAAGTATTCCGACCTGAAGCTTTCCAAGCCTGTTGTCTCGAATGGCGACGTGAAGATCGCCGCTCAAGTCACAATCGCGAACACTGGCTCAGTGTCGGGCTCTGACATTGTCCAGCTCTATGTCACGCTTCCCACCACATCGGAGCTGACGCACCCACCATTGATGCTAAAGGCGTTTGCGAAGGTGAAGGATCTAGCGCCGGGAAAGAGCCAGACGATTACACTAGACCTCGACAAGTACGCGGTTTCCTACTGGGAGGACAGGATATCAAGATGGGTTGTAGAGAACGGCGACTATTTGATCCGTGTCGGCAGGAGCAGCGCTCCGGAAGACCTTACGCTGGCTGCGACGGTGACCATCGAGAAAGGCTTCGAATGGAACGGCCTGTAAAAGCATTGAGTGTTAGGAGGCAGTCAGAAGATCATTACAGTACAGAATTGACCAAAATGTAAGCAGAATTTCCTTCCGTGATCCCAATGTACAAGTCCAGCTTGTGAAAATGTAATTATGTTGCACGCTTGAAATTCATTCAAATTTCTACTTCAACTTGGTCCTGATTCTTCGCTGGCTGCTCTTTGCATTCAGCTCTGTGTAATGTCCACGCGGCCTTCTGACACGCTGTAGAACAGTAAGACCTGTACCGGCAACTGAGCACAATAATACTCATTAGCACAATCGAATAATGCATGCAAGGATTATGATAGCAAACACCTCGCGCAAGCTTTACTTGCTCATCCCCACTGGAATAGCCTCTCCTCGACGAGGGGATCCCGGACACCTCTGACCCGGCGATCCTTGAGTTCAAGCAAAGCTTTAAGTTCGGGACAACAGAAATAACCCCACCCGTACAGGGTCAGGCAGTCCCAGCGGCCGGATACGGCGAGTATCATCCACCCGTGACGCTTCCGTGTTGTGCGCGGGACATGGTCGAATTTTTTCAGCAGAGTGAGCATGGCGTCAGGCGTCTTGTATGTCGAGGGCTTGCGTGAGAGACGGCGATGAAGAAAGAAAAATATGATGTTGTTGTGTGAGAGCGTGCTACCACGCTCGAACGGTTCTAATTTGTAGTGAGTAAATATCTCGTGCATAATTCGCGCGAAAATAGGGGTCGCCTATCATGAAACGCTGTATCAGCGCGGACTGCCTCAATGTGGGGCTCAAAAGACAAACTGCAAATGAACCTCCTTCCATCTCCACTTTGTGTATAAAAGCTGTCAATACTCCTTGCAAGGAGGCTTCCGTTTAATGTTCCCATGCTTTACTTGGTAGGTTCTGTATGGCATCGTCGCAAAATTTCGTTGCCATGCTCTGGGCCTGCAGTAAAACCGGTGAAAATCATCATAATGAACGTGAGAGATGCACATACCCAATCAAAGAGCGCTGGGAGCCCTCCAGCGTGTGCGAAGCGAACGATCACTTTTTCCATCCAGTAGAGCGGACGCATAGAGTCTGTGAGGTTGTCTCCCAGAGCTAAACGATGCATGGGACACGTCGAATACTCGACAATTTTGGCCATCGCCCGTTTGCGACGCGTCTTCTCTGCGACATTGTTCGGGTGAATGAGAGCAAGGGAAACGAGGAGGTCTGCAACAAAAAACACCATGTGATACGCTGCCAAGTCTTTTCCAGCCACATCCTCCATCTCTATCGAATGCATCCTATCGTCGTCGTCGGACTCTGGGTCCGCATCCACGGCGATTTTAGTATCGTGCGCGTCTTTCCGCCACTTGCCGATATCAAGAGGTTCGTCAAGCAGGAACGCCCCCATGTCGGGGGCATGTCGGAGGAGCGCTCGAAGCCTGGCCGGCGAGAGGTGCAGATAGATACCCAGTTCGTGCAGCTTGAGGCCAAGTTCTCCAATGTCTTATTGATCACAATATTTGAAATCCACGGGTTTCTTCCGGGAAAGCTTCGCGTCATAATATATGCGCAACAATTGCCTTATGCGCTTGAGCAACCCTGGAATCTACAAAAAATGGACTGAATCAGCTACCAGTTCACTCCGCCTTACAGCGGACCCTTATATCATTTGTGCACCTGCACCTCTCCGATCCCATGTCCTCAGGGACACCTCATCTATAGCAGCGCTTCTGTGCATGTCGTAGCGGGACACACTATGGATGTGCCATTGTTGAGATCTTGGACAGGGAGCTCGAACTTAATCGCGGTCGCTTACCTGCGCGTATTCAGCTTGTGAGATTGCGCTCGTCTTCTTGATGATACCTTCCAATTGGGTAAGAGTGTAAACCACCCCAGTACGAATTGGCGGATTTTGCAGGGGAGCAGAATTAAAGGACCCGCCGCGGCTCAGCATCAAGCCCATCGAAGTCTGAACCGCCCCAATCCGAGCGCTGGCCAGCCTCCCCTCTACCAAAGAAAATAATGGTTCATTTGTCGGGGGAAGATCCATCCTTTGTCTTGTAGTATGGGGAAAATGGGCGTATTAAGCTGATCGTCATGCTGTATGCATAATGGTTCTGTTTCAGTGACAGGACACGTGACCGCGTACCGTGAGTCCAGCAATGAGCTCTGACTCTGAGGGCATTACGGTCAGGACTGAGTACTGAGGACGCCGATGTGATAGCATAGCCTGTCACGCAAAACTTGTAGTCGTACATCTTCATTGCACACAGGTTGATTTCTTACCCACATTTCGTTGCATGTTACCTTACGAGTGGCAGCCTTACGAATTATATCTCGATCTCTGGATGAGCGGACACGGTCCACCGCGTCAAGTTGACGCCCATCCTTGCGTGATGGCCACGTAGGCTTTTGACGTTCGTTGTAGCAGTATGATTTCGACAGACATCTGCGCGACGTAATAAACCGAGACGAGCAGCTAGGAACGAATACACTGGCCTTTTGCGAGCTTTGTCCGTCGCACCAAATAACAATCTCTTCTCCTCAGGATCTCTATCTCCCGAAAGCTTGAGAATGGAACCAATCGTCTCTACTTTCTTCACCTGTTCCGCCTCTATCCGCCGCTTGCCGGTATCTAGTGGCGCGTCGAGTAAACTGGAGATACACATGTTCACCATCCCATAACTAATAAATTTGGGAGGATCCCGTACAGAAGCCGAGTCAAACGGCTCCCTCTGCATTTTCGTGTGAAGCATCTGCGTTGCTGCAAGTCTCTCTTCGATTTGTACCCGGACAGGTTTAAGATCTGTGGTCAGAATAGACAACGGGAAATAGAGTAGTACCGAATCAAACGACAAGGCAAAGTGGGAATATATGTAGCCGAAGTCATATCGATCAATAAGTCTCGTACCAGAACCGTCCACATGTGACAGGGGCTTGCGTCGAACCTAATCAATCAATTGCTGTATGTTGCGCATGGGTCAGTGAAGACGAAAGGAGAGCAGAAATGGCAGATGGGAGAACCGTCAGCCCATGGAAGAATAAGGATAAGTTAATTATAGGCGCTAGATCCTACAACAACTGTAATACTTAATTCTAATCAACATCATACAGTCAGTCACTTCCTATACCAGAGATTACTTACGACTCAAGTGAACGCATTGAATAGTCAAAAGACATCACGTATGTTCGGGCTATCTCACTAGATCACTACATAGACACAAAGCAGGAGTAGCTGAAGAACCGAGTGACCCGAGGACAGAATTTTCGCTTCTACGACACAGTATGCGCTTGAACGCCATAAATACCAACATTTCTCTGTTACAAGATACAACATAAGATAACGCGACACCGCATATAACCCACAACCCGCTCACCTTACGGGGGCAGCTATCCGTCAGCCTCTGACATCCCCAAACTTTGATTTCCTGAAGACGATTACATTGCTCCATCAGCGATTTGATGACCCAGTCGTCCACTTCGCAACAGAACCCAATATCGAGCTTGGTAATATGAGGCGCATGCCCCGCGATACTCGCAAGCGCTTCTTGGGACACCGTCTTCCAACCATTGATGTTGAGGTGTGTCAGCGTTGAGCCCGAGTGCTCTAGCAGCGCGCGCAACGCATCCCCCGCGAGAAGATGATTGCGCGAAAAGTCTACAATGGTGAGCGGCGGATTCGGTTGACGTCCCTCTTTTGCTGCGGCGGCATCCCAGGTTTCAAAGAACTCGGTCACTCCTGCGTCTGTGATTTCTGGAGTATCCGACAGCACAAGAGAGCTCAGCTGTCGCAGATGGGGCTTGAGCCCCTTGAATAAGAGTGCATCGCCAACGTCGACATTCCCCGACAGATCAAGATGCGTCAGTGACCCACCCACCATGCTAATGAGATCGATCAGGGCCTTCTCGCTCAACTCTTCTTTATTTCCTGGGTATGAGATTTCCAGGGAAGCCAACTTTCCTGCTAGTGTCTTGATGGGTTCTAAGAATGTGTCTTCCATCTTGCCAATCTCTTTCAATCGCAGCTCATTCAATCCAGGACAGCTCTCGACTAGCACTTGCATGCATTCCAGATCAAAACGTGGACTTTGTATAATCAAGAAACCTTCCAGCTTGGGATGAGCTCTGAAGAAATCACGCCAGGCGGGTGCTCGGACGAGAAAAGGGCCGAGAAGTTCTAGGCGCTTGAGGTTGGGCAGGGCCGACGACCATGTCTTCATGACGCTATCGTCCAGACGACCGCAGAGATCCAAGCGAAGATTAGTCAGATTTGGGTTTAAGGAGGCAAGGGTGCAAAAAGCTGGTGGCGGTAAGTCTAGCGGGACATGAGGATCATGTATGGTAAGTAAGCACATGACACTCACTCGTAGCGTCGTATAAGGTTAATTCAGTATTCTGGACGTCATAAAACAGAGGTACGTTTTGCGGGGTCCTTCACGCAAGATCTGAGCGGTCAAGAAGGAGTCATCACGAGCAATACTTACAAGCTCCTGTTTTTAGAAATAGCTTTGGCTATCTCATCCAAATTGATTTTTCCAATGTCGCCCAGAGCTTCGACGTCGTTAATATGTTCACTGATCAACTGTACGGCGACCACTCAATCAGAGGACAACGAGAACAACAAGCCCGAACATCATGCCATACCTCAATGCACAGTGATGCCAAACTCGGGAAGCGCTTCTCTTCAAATGATATGACTACTCGTTTGTCGGCTGGCGTCTTCCGCTTCCTAGGCACAGTCGGCTTCTTGAATGGATCAGTACCAGATGCTTTGATACAAAGGTGGCATAGCCATCCCGGAGGTGGGCTCGCAGCAATAGTGTATTTCGTCTATCCATTGTTAGTGATTAAAACTTTAGTGAAGCAGGGCAGGGAGTACCACGCACCACCGTGAACTGCTTGTGGCACTTGGCACACTCCTCAAAATTCCCGACAGGAGGCTTGGGCAGATCTCCCTTCCACATCTTTGACAGAGCCGTGTACGGATCACGGTCCGAGTCTTCGTCATCTTCGTCGTCTCCTTTCTTCGCCTTCTTCTTCGCCAGCTCTTTCGCCTTGGCCTTGGTTTTAGCCTCAGCCGCCTTTGACATCTTGCGTTTCTTGGAAGGTGGCTCTTTCACGTCTTCTTCATCTAGATTATCCGAATCAAATCCTTTCTCCTCCTGCAACACATCGTCAATCATTTGAAAGTAAAAATATGCGCCGCAGAGACACTCGCCTCATCCGCTTGCTCTCCCACCGGTTCGTTTGCATCCTCAGTCTGCACAGCGTTGCTCGGTCCCGCGACGTCATTTTGTTGGGCATCTTGTTGTTGAGTCCTAGTACGACGGGCAATTGTGGTAGGCGTGATGCCCGACTCCTACTTTGCCTATCAGCTCATTCTTGAGCCTCAAACGCATCGCGAATGACTTACGCGGAGAAATTCCGTGAGCGCCGACGTCGGCCCACGTACGTTGTTTCTGCGACTCATGATGATGTTTCGAGAGCTGTCTCGGTTGAGTGTCTGTTGAGATAAACTGGCGGCAGTGTGGTCGTCGCTCCCAGGCCTGAGAATAGTTGCAGATTGGCTATGGCCAGCGTGACCGCGTTTTGCCGGGGGCGGCTTGCCGTTTCGAGTTTCCTCTTTTGCCACCAGCCACGTACTGAGTACTATCGATGATCCTTCTCGGTAATATTCCGCTCGTAGCATAATCGTTGCTTTATGGCCCAAACAAAGGTGTGTGGTGGACGACTGAAAAATACGGTTCGCCATTATTGCATTGGGGATGCGAAGGGAACTTGTGGATTCTTCAAGTTTATTGAATATGCTGATACTCACGACTGTAACATATACAGCTTTCGATCATCTAGATCCCTCAGACTCAGATTTATGTGTGCCTTATGATTCTTGGGACATGCACGGAGTTCAATTCGCTCTCAGGCGCACCGAACACAAGGTGTCGGTGCACTGTATTACAATTTCAGATCCCGGGCCAGTCGAAGTACAGTGTCGACTGTGGTGCACTATAGCAGCAATCGTCCATAAGTCGATATCCACATGAGAATCGCCTTCGACCGGATGGCTCACCTACGTACTGCGCCACCCGTATGTCGAGTAGTCTTCAAGTGCGCATCGTAGGTGCTTGACACATGCAAGTGGATAAAGTCATGATCGGCATGAAAGCTTCGAGTCTACGCCGATAAGCTAGCTAGCTTTCGAGTGTCAGAGTTGTATGTAATTCTTGTATGTACGCAAATAAAAAGAATATGAAGTCATCGATTCAGAAACTGAATGGCAGGATCTTGACGCCTCCCACAAACCCATCACCTCCGAGCCCCCAGCCCTTTCTCCATCCTTCCTTTGTCTTCCGCTTCTCCCTAATTTCATAGAACAACGAGCCGTCGTACAGCTTCCTCAGGTCCTCTTTATCGATGCAGCCATTCTCCTGCAAAAGGAGCCAAGTCGTACCCCACTCAAAGGCCGCAGCGGACCAGCCGTACGGGTCCACAGCGACGCGCTGGCCATGCATCAAGTGCATGATCTCTCGTAGCGAAAGTGTTTCCCCAGGAGCGGTTGAAGACTGCTTGGAGGAGTATTTGGCGAAGATATCCTCGAAGCGGCAGGGGACGAAGCGTCCTTCGGTGTCGTACACTCCTGAGTCAGAACCATGCTTGTCTTTGTGTATGCTAGAGACATAGACACGGAAGAATGGGTCAGGGAAGTAGCTATGTGCGAGGCTATGCGCGAGGTGAGTACGACATAAAAGAGACAGGAAAGAGGCAGACACACCGTGTCGGGAGGGAGAAGCATATGTTAATGACAAAGACGGCGAAGAGAGAGAATACCACGTTGAACCCAAGATCACGGAATCCGACGAATGTGTCCCGGGGCCAGATCACTCCATCGCGGTCGCGGTCCCAGAATATTATATGCTGCTGTAGGACTGACTATGCATCGTCGTTGGGATTAGATATATACGTGAGTTATCTTGGGCATCACTCACGAAATTTTTATGTTTGTGGGAATATTCAGAGGATCCGGCGGGATGTTCAATGCTTGGGGCGTAGTGTGCACGGGCGACGTAAGGTATCTTTATGAATCTGTCGGTGTCAACGCGATACGGCCGGGTGCCCATCGGCTGCGTATGGTCTACGACTATGCGTGGGTGGTACAAGTTGCTGTGTTCTGTGGAAATATGTTTGAGTGTAGGCATAGTCGGTTGAAGCGGGGATAACAGCAGTGGAGGCGGACAGAATAAGATGCATGCCTAGCATAATGCAGTAAATTTCTCTCAATCGGAAATTAGAATAAATTGTATGCGGCAAGTGGCGCCTTGAAACTGAACCTGACGATGTCATCGACGTCATCGCGGTAACTTCAAGTGCGTGACTCGACGCGACGTTTCCATTTTCACGTGATGTGTGACAGGGTTCGACCCTTGCCCGCAACCTGCCACTGTGCCACTGGCCACTGCTTTGCCCGACAATGTCTTAGCCTCTCTGACTTTCAGTCATGCATGCACCCAGCGAGAATCTCAATCCCCACCTACCTCACTTCTACTTTTCGATGGTCCTCTTGAAAACTGCATAAGACGGAAAGTCAAGTCGATGATTACTGCGACCTAAGTTCTAGTACTGCAGCTTGGGTGGACCTAAAGCCTAGCGAGAGCTCGAGTGTGTGGCAATGTGAGTGGATCAGTTGAGCTCTGCAAGATATGTTTCTCTCAGTTTCAGGCTTAGGGACTACAGCAGAGAGTTCAAGGGCACGATGGTAGTCCACATTTGTGAATGAGGTTTCATTCACGCATCCTCTCTATTTCTCGTACAACTTGCACCTGTGGCCCACTATGTCGGCTGTCGGAATTTCGTCGCAAGAGATGACCAATTGGCAATATAAGTAAATACACGCACGCCTTCTGTGAATGATGTCCTGAAAGGGTGTTCCTTTGTCTTCTCACATCGGAGATTGTATCGCTGTATCACGCCACTGCAACTATGCCACACATCTTCTAGAAGATTTAAAGGCCACTGTTCACTTCAGTAAGTGACACAACCTCCCTGCATCGACCTCTAATGTCTTCGCCCTATGTCAGCGATGGAGCCATCTCGGATGCCTCCGAGAGCAGCTACATATCCGTTCCAATATCTCTTCGTAGTCGCCCTGTCCTGACTCCAGGCTCCCCGGACCCAGGCTCATCGGATTCGCGCTCAGACTCGAGCTCTTCCGAGTGGGACTCAGAACACTTGAGGACGAATCTCGACGCGTCTCAGCGATCTAACCATCAGACTCGCCCGCTCATACTCACGAAGCACCTCCTGCTGATCGAGGTGCCACAGCCTGTGTATATGCCATCTCCAGGACTGCGGAGGCCGTTTCCGAGGGTCGAGCGTATCGTTTTCTCCCTCCCTCACGAAGACCCGCGTATCGGCGTTCATATGGCCAGTCTCCTCAACTCCGATGAGGAAATCAAAAACTCCCGCAATCCGGTGTTCCTCGCATCTGGGCTGCATGAAATCGAGTTCCGGATTTTAGTGCGTCATGATGATTTCTTTGTGGAATGAGCGTGATGCACAGTGGAAACATAGTGGCCAGGATATCCAGGGGCTAGCTACCATCGTATTGTCAACCTGCGTGGGCGCAAGAATCAGCCGATTACACGGGATCAACTTGCGCGGTACATCGCTGCGTCCTATCGCGAATTTATACAAGTATGTTCTTGTCTTGTTTGATTAACTCGTTGCGCTGACAGGCAGAATACAGGAGTGCGACGACGAGCCGGTCGATGAAGAAATGGCACACTGGACCTTCAAACCAGACGGACCTTTGTCATTCGAGAACCTCTGGCTCATTGCCCTCCGTCATGTAGCAACAAACACATACCAGGCCGAGATCAGATCGAACGAGGGCTAATTGATGATCGCGTGTGTGCGCCTTACAGGAGTTTTGACATTAGTCATAATATAGCATGAGTAGATATCCCGCCCCGCTTACATCTCGGGAGTTTAAGTGCGTGTAATCCGGACGATTTTCTGGCACCCAAAGCTAGGCTTCAATTACGACAAGTTACGACCACACACTGGGTATATTATTGCCCACACAATGTGGAGACATGACACGAGCCTCGTACTCGTCCTTACGCCCGGCGCGTGATGGTCTTTCTTCGAGACTAGATGATTACGCCCTCAGCGGCTTCATACAATATAAAGGAGACTAAGAAGAGATTAAATACTTGAAAGCCATGGGTTCCGACTTCCGATATCAGAGCAACTCCGAAGCATCGGCCTATACACCAATGTCACTCAGTACCTTCTCCGTTGTGGCCCATAGTTCCTTAGCTAACTCCGGATCCCGCCCTCGCTTGCTACAGCTGCCCAGTTGTCCAGGTGGTTTGATGTAGGCGCCACGGTACTTTTGTGACTCAGCACGCACGACCGGTGCCACTGCTGCAAAAACAGGGACGTAGGCTCCTCGCGAGGGACGACCAAGTAACGTCGAGGCGATGAAGCCGTAAATGGGCGCAATGATTGGTCCAACAGAATGTGCATAGTTCTGCACGCCCTCTATACAATGGTGAGGGTGGGAATCGTCAGTCAAAGTTATGAGATCCTAGGCGTGAATGACGATACGAACCCGTGTTCACTTCGCCAGGATTGGCAGACATGACGATGATTGGTATGCTTTCTTCGTTCAGACGTCGTTGCAACTCCTTGACGTAGAGCACGCCCATGAGCTTGCTGAGAGCTGCGTCACGGTCAGACCAGCGCCTGAGATAGTAGCGTATATGCGTACTATATCGGTTAAATTTGGGGAGCCATGAGTCCTTGAATTCCACGTTCAGATCATCCACATTGCGGAAGCGGGTTTTGGGGGCATGGTTATGACCATCAGACGCCATCTGCACATGTTCAAAAATCAGATCATCAAGCTATAGGAGAATGTCAAATAGCGATACGAACGTTGACGATGCGGACATCACTGCCGGGCTCTTGAGCGGTCGTCTTTAATATGGGGAGCAATGTTCTTATGAACACGAATGGACTCAGGTAGCTGCATGCACATGAGGCTGGTCAGCAACTCGAGCATTGGTGTTCTATATAGGGATCTTCTCACTTGACCACCATGAGGTCTTGAATGTCTAGGAAAGTACGCAGATTAAACTGAGCTTGAACTCAACGAACATGACCGGATAACTCTCGCACCATCATGGGTCCGGGAGTAGGGCACGAGAAGCCTTGTCGGGTGGATCAGGTATGCGCATTATAAACACTCAAAAAGCCTCACATTGCAGCGCTGTTCACTTGAGTGCGTCTGAGTCAAAGCCCACGAAGACTGTAAATGTACGAACCGACAGCATCTAGCCTCGTCTCCTGTTCCATGAACGATTCCGCAGCCTTCTTTGCTATCCGTGGATCTGAATAGTCTAATGGCAACCACACCACTTCGCCGTTCCCTGGTCCCAGCCCAGCTGCTTGTAGTCGCTCTATCGCAGCCCGCGCGCGCTCCTCATTTCGTGCTCCCATGTAAACTTTCGCGCCATGCCGCGCGAGATGCTGTATAGTCGCAAAGCCAATACCTGCACTAGGGAGGTTTAGATCCCGTGGAAAGCAATGTCGAATGCAAGCTGCGCTTCCCAGCTACGTACTTTCCACCGGTCACGATGATAACTTTTCCAGCCAGGCTAGGGAGTTGGTCGGGGCTAAAACTTTTCGCAAAGGCAAAGCCCATGGTGACGAAGTGAGAAGACCTAGGAGGAAGCCAAGCAGAAATCCCATCATAGACTTTCGTCCGACCGCAATTTAATGATCTGGACTCTGAGTGTCTCGGGATCACGCGCAAATCAGTCTGATGTATATTACACAACCCGACGGGCGGAGTTGCAAGGGGTCCGCATCAGTAAAACCGGCAAGCTCTGATTACTCTATGACAGATCAATGGAATATTAAACGACAACCGGAGAACAAAGGTAAGTTAACTTGCTAGGGTACTGGGTACATGAACCTGAATAACAATTGTGGTCATTAGCTCGACACGCCCAAAATGTAGTGTATGGGGTCGTCACTAGTAGCAAGTGAAATACGTCAACGCTCCTCTTCAGCGCTCACTAGAGGCCTGAAGTAGAGGAATTCAATGAGAACCCTGTTGTCTCAATGAAGCATGATGAGAGATCACTCACATTAGAATTCCCTTTCCGTGTAGGAGTGGAAGATGCGCCGAGAGCGCTGCGCACCAATCCGCCTCCTGTGGTATGTTACCTAGGCGATGCGAAACTTCAGGACAGACCAGCACCCGGAGTTCCAAAATAACTCTCTTCAGGCTCGCGAATGGAGGCGTGCACAGCAAATCATCAATCCGTGCATGTAGCTCGCTGTCCGCGTCAGCCAATAGTTCCTCGAATGTCGGATTCGAAAATGCAGGATGGGAAGTTGTACGGAAGACGATACGAATTTCGCAGAGCTTGGGTGTGCATCGAGACAGGACAGATAGGACACACCGCCAATATGGAGTCCACGGGATGTGGCCTTCAAAAATAAGCGAAAGATTCACGATGTTCAGGTTGTCCAGGTGAAGGTTCAAGTATGGATCTGTAGTTTGGACGAAGTTAACATCGATGCGTGCGATGAGCAAATACTTGTTATGTAACACACCGTCGAGAAGCCTATCATGGAACCAGATCTCGATTTCGGAAAGAAACCCACGAGTTGTATTTAACAACCGCTGTATACGACCAGTAGATAAATCGGCCTCGTGGACTCTCAAGAGCTTGAAAACGATATGCTTGAGTATAGTGCCGAAGGACGAGACAATTAAGAACTCGAGGACATCGCTGCTAGCGTATACTTCCAGATGTGTCAAAGTGACATGCTGAGGCGGAGTCAGATATCCTGGAGTACGCCTCATCTGGACTCTATAGCAGACTAGGCTGGTGAGGCAGGGCAGGGCAGAGATAAGCTGTCCAAACAGCGCCATCGATGAAAAATGAACGCTGTGCAGTTCTAGGCGTGTGACAGACCGGAATGTAGCTTGCAGATGCGTGAACTGCTCTGTACGTAGCAGGTTTTCTTTCCATCGGCTATGAGAAAATTTGAGTACCTCAATACCAGTCAACCTGTGAACCATACAGTGGGCGAATGGTTCCAATAGATTTACAGCATCTCTAAATGATACCGCAGTAATGTCATGCACCACATGAGGGTGCTCTTTGAGGAGTTGTGCCATCCGCAGCACCTGGGCTACATCACGGAGGACGACATGTCCAGGTAGTTGCCACAGAGTTCGCAAATTCCGCACGTTACACTGGAGGATGCATGCCTGCGATGGTTGTTCTTCCCGAGCCAGATGGTTCACCATTTGTTCCCATATCTCGAACGGGAACTGCAGGGGCTGTTTAGGAAGGGTAGATACATGACGTTGCTGGGTGTCGTCGATCTTTCCTGGTGTCTCGTCCAGTAGTTCTGGCGCGTGCGGATTGTCGCAAACAGGTTCTAGGTCTTTGTGCTCTGGCGTCAGCGACTGATCAGCCCGCACTCTTGGACTAGCGAACTTGCTCATGCTATTTTGAAGAATGCCTATGACGCGATAACAAGAGCACGTTCAGATGACTGCATCACAGATCGCACGTAAAAGCATTACGTACGACGTCCCAGACGTAATATCGATTTCACGAAACCACCATGCTGCGTCTCCTCATTCACGTGGCCATCCTTCCGAGATTTTGTCTTCCACTGAATATCGAGCTTGAAGCCCATGGGCGGGTGGAAACACGGGGGGAAGTGGACGATGACATGGCACCTGTTCCAGACCAAATCATTATTATAATTACCACACAGCTTCTTGACAGGGAATGGAGGCCTAATGTTCACTCTTCCCTGACAAGCGTCACGTTGCGTTCCGACCCAAATAGTTGCGCGACGGTCGCCTCGCTACTCCGGGAGATCATTTCTATGCCAAGCTATTTTCCATTTGGACCCTCAAGTTGAATGCTTCATTCAATCGCGCGGTGCTGAGTTTGCAGGGAAGTAACAGAAAAGTGTTCAAACTCTAAGCGTTATGGACGGTTGAACAAGTGTGAATACAGTCAGGCGGTGCACGCACCACGCGTCGGACACTCGCCAGACTTAAAAAACATTTTCCGCGCGTGTTTGCCTCGAAGTGATCTGTACATAAACGAGGATGATGCATGGCCGTGGACAGATGGAGAGGCCTCAGCTAACGGAACAGTGCCGCACTGATCTCCTGAGTGCATGATGCACACTGCAAAACTGAAGGGGAGAATTTTAACTCGGGCGCTAATCAACTCGACCTGGCGTTCGACCGGCAGTCAGCGGAGCGTACGTACTTCAGTAAATAGACAAAGAAAATACATGTTGGTCAGAAAACAACAGCACCACAATCGCGTGCCATGCCCCTTAGTTCCAGCGATTGATTTCAATAGTCTCCATTGTATTCGTACAGTGTCCAAACCGATGATACATAACCAAATCTACTAGCAATACATTTTACCGTGAAACTCCGAACTCCAGCTTTTACAAGGTCAAGTCTAGGTTCACATGGACGGCCTTGACCTGCGTGTAGCTGTGTGTACGATAGGAATCAGCGTCCGTTTTACATAGATAGCATAGAACAGACACTCACTTTGCCAGCGCGTATTCGCCAAGCTCGCGTCCCATCCCGCTCTGCTTGTATCCACCAAATGGCATCGCGCAGTTCACGTTGACCATGGA